CATCTCTTCATGTGAGCCTATAAAAGAATCTTCTGGGAAACAGTCCAGAGTTCCCCTTCTCTCAACTGCTAAAACTAAGCAACTGGTGAATGTGGCCCAGGGCTCAGCACTGAGATTGTCTTATGTTGGTACAGAGGAAGATTACTAATGTCTAATCCAATATGGTCAATATGCAGAACTGTCCAGATAAGTGATGCCAGGTACCTCCTGAAAAGTGTGATTAGTGGTGCAGTATGACACAAGGGATTTGTATTATCTGCACTGGTTGGAGAGGAACAGGTTACTTTTCTGCCCAGGTCTGCCAGCAATATGCCCCAGGATTTTCTCCTTACTGCGGGCTCAGGGCAACTACTCTACATGCCATGATCTCTCCAGGAAAGGTTTTCTGGTGCATTCTTTCCATATACTCTCCCAGTTAAAGCATTTTCTCCAACACAGCAGTACATAATGGGGGTAGATTTACTAAAACTGGTGCATACATAATCTGTTGCAGCTGTACATGGTAGCCAATCAGCTTCTAATGTCAGCTTTTTCAAGTAAGCTTTGATAATAAAAACTGGGAGGCGATTGGTTATTATGCAGAGCTGCACCAGATTTTGTACGCTCCAGTTTTAGTAAATCTCCTCCATCGGGTACAATGGCTATGGCATGTAGCCTCCAAAACTTGGACATTATTTATCATAAATTTATAAACCGCATCCACCATGCTGTTCAGAGCCATGTCCACTTTTAAAATTGTTCCCTTTACAGGGTGCAATATCTATCGAATCTTCAAAATGTACATTTCTGTACTGTGGCCACATTAGGTCATATAAAGTCTACTTACAGCACCAAAAAGTAATATGATCACCAGAAATTCTTTAATCCCTTATATATTTACAGTTTTACATTACAGAACATTTTTGGATGCATTATTTACAGGTATGACAATAAATAGTCAAAGTACAGCAGCAGTGTTCTCCAAGGATGGGAGAAAGGCACGTCTCAGTTGTACATCCCTGGCATACAGTACCCAACTATGATAAAATCATAAAACATGTCACCCATGTTATAATGAACATTAATTAGCAAAGTCCTTTTTCAGAACACAGGCCACTTATAATTTAGCTTTATTGTATGGCCTGAAATGCAAAAGGGAATCATCATGAAGCACCAGATGGAAGCTGTCACTCTTAGACTTCTAGGTCACACACTGGGGACTGTGGAATTGCTAATGACTCGAGCCTACTTCACCGCCCTGAGCTATCATACTGCCTGGAAGTCAAAGAATGGCATATTGCATCTGAAGGTATAAAGATCCCCTTTATTTATCACACACAACAATCTTGCAGCAACATACATAAAACTCAACCTCTGTACTTTGGACGTCGAAGAACGCCATCAAAAGTGCTTAGTGCCCCAAATCAATGCAATGTTATTGTTTTTTCCTTCTAACTAGACATAGCACTGCTGTCCTCTGTATGTACTATTAGTAACACAGTGAGTAAAATAATATCATAACCACTCATACAATATTTTTTGTATGCAAAGTAAACCTGTCACAGACCGAAACATTTGATGAAAACATGCACAAGTTGAGGTTAACCATGAAAATTAAATGTCTAATTGGTCTGTAGATGCAGAAATTAACAACATATATAAATCTCAACTGCCTATCACACACATTAAAACCAGAGACTGTACAATCCTTTAGATCTACTAAAAACTATGTAGTTCAAGGGCCTACCTGACTGAATAAAAATTGGATAGATAACACCTAAAGTATAATTAAAAGAAAAACTTTTTCTTAGTTTTGGATAGAGTGGAGAGCAATTAGTACCCCTATCAGTCTTTAACTCTGTCTGCGCACCCATTAGGGGGATTTGCCGTTTACCATTATCATTGAAAGTAATGAAATTAGAAGAATTTGGGCTGTCCCCAGAAAATACTGGAGGGGAAATCTTCTAATGTGGACACTAGCTCTAGTAACCAATGGGTCCCCAAGGAATTACTTTAATTTGCAGGGATTTCCTCTCACTTTCTGTTTGACTATGGGACAGGAAGTGAAGGGGAATCTCTGCAATGGGACACAAATCGTGAAAAAAATCTGACAAGGGTTATAACCCTCCCTTGTCCTATCCAAAAGTTTTGCCTATAGTTCGATTTTAACATTACATAGTTTTGGTAAATCTAAAGTTGATTTTACAAAAACTAACATATATGGTGACCCTAAGGGGCCAATAGGAAGACAAGGCGAGCTGAGATCCATATATAAATTGAGCTGTCTATATCTCTGGGTCTTCTGACCATGCAGAGTCCACTAAAGGTAATCTCTGTACGTGCATCTTTATGTAGGTATAAAAATGCATTCATTTTTTATTTTCTAGGAGCCTAGAAAGCATTGCACCCGCGATCTCCATGCAGGACTCCTGCTGACCTGTCTGTATAGCTGTGTGCTTGTACCTCGTGCAAGCTGGCAGATACACAGACAGAAAGAGAAAATGAACTACCACAGCACTCAGTGCTGTGGTAATTCATTGAGAACTGCAAAGCAGACAGCCGCAAATGCTGTTGGGACTTGTTTTTCATTCACAGATATCTGTGAATGAATGACACGGCTGGGTGTGATGCATGGCTGCATCTATTATGAATTGTAAAAGCAGACAGGGAGAAGATCCCCAGTCTGCTGTCACAGCGGGGACTCGGGGGCAGCTGCAGCGCTATCATGTTACATCCCGAATACAGGTGTAACATGTTAGAAAAGGTGAACTTATCCTTTAAATGAAAAGTAGACAAATTGTGGCTCTCAATTTTTCACATTTACTAAATGTCCCAGCATCTTAAAAGCCACATACAACAGCTACCTTATCTAAGGGCTCCTGCACATGGCCGATTAGGGCCATACCACTGCCAAGATTAGCATATTTCTGTGCCAAGAACAGCCCGGTGTTTCTGATCAGCCAGACAGGAAGTCTGTACAAACCAATGCTGGGCTGACACTATCTGCATGTAATTGCACATGGAGCGATTACATGTGTACAGCTTTGGATAGTGCCAGCCTGTCATTGATTTTTACAGACTTCTTGTTTGTGTCTGATCATAAACGTCTGGCTATTTCTGTTGCAGGATTACATTGATCTGGTGTACAGCCTGTCAGAGTGTGTGAGCCCTAACGGGATAGGAATAATTGGCTGCTGCCACCACATGGTGCAACTAGCATTATTTCTACACAATACATGTCCATGGAGATGTACCAATGTGGAACCTTTTCTGTGTCTCTAACTACAGCCTGCAGGTCTATAGCTAAAGACAACTACAGGGAAGAAGTCACTGAACTGGTTTGGTAACTGTTAAAGTAAACTTCAAAATGCATTGGACACTGGTGCCGATGTTGGGATTGTGATAAGTGTCAGCATTAGGCTAGCATCACATCCACATCAGGGCTGCCATAGACACCTCCTGCCAGCACATCTTGGTCATGCTCTGCCCCAGGACAGCCTGTTGACTAGCCAATAAAATACTTAATTCGTTCCAGCCTCATTGTTCCTTTTTCCTGTCAAACTCAACCGGAGAGGAAACGGACATGCACTGGATACAACATGGCTCATTTTGATCAATCTGAAGAGGTCAGGAAGCATTACGTTCTCAGGCAGTTTGCTTATACTTTTGAGTGGTCCCAAAAAAGGGCAGCTGGCATCCACAAAAATCATTGCATTCTGGAGACAGCAGCTGCTTGGAGTTAGAGGTGTTCCTCTCCAGTCCATCTAAAGGTGCATGTGACCAGAGGCATAACTTCCTCATGGTGTTCTTTACAGGTGTTCCAGCAGAAACAAAAGTGCTCCAAGTTGGTCAACCCCAAACCACTTTCATTACTTGTTACAGCTTGGATGTGACCGTAAAATCAGAATCTTGTTTTGGGAAAGGTATTTTTCCTAAAAATAAAAATGTGCTGGCTAATAAAAGGTTAAGTTCGATGAGGTGTATGCCACCCTCTTTCTTTTATATACATTTTTACAGATTGCCGGGAGTACAGCTATTATTATACTTACAATGCTCCAGCACTGGGTTTGGGTCTCTGATACAACAGTCATTTGCAGCTGCTCTAACGGCCCTCCTCTGACCCAACTATAAAAGACGTTCTATTATGCCAACCCATTGACAAATTACAAAATATTTGGTGAACTGGCAATAGAGGAGAGGGGCAGGTAGAGCAGCTGCTTTGTAGGAAAGTACCTCTCTCCTTTCAGAGTGCTGGGGGTATAGCAATAGCTGAACTCCTGGAGATCAGTAAAAATGTAAACAGTAAACAAAACAGAGGTCCATGAGGTGGCATTCACATTGTTGAACTTATCCCCTATAAGCCAGCATATTTCTAACACTGATGAAACTCCTGGAGCTCCACTTTAACCTGTATTTGAATGTAAATAAATTATTTTCTTTGGCAAGCACCCACCCATGTTTCTCAATTACTACGCAGCACCTAGGTGTGTATGGACATGGGGAGTCCTCAGGAAAGAGAAAAATCGTTAGCAAATGCAGTCATTTTCCTTTCTTGATGCCTCACAACATCAGAAAATATTGCCCACTATAGTGGACAGTGGCACAAGTCACGTGATTTATTGGCTAGCCCTGGAGGAACAGCATGACCCAGCATGTGTTGACATAGCGAGGCGTGATGAAAGGAAAATTATGGTAAGCATATGATTTGAACAATTTTCTGTTACGATTTCACATTTAGCCTTCTTTATCAGGGTCTGAAAGGAGGACGGTCTCTGTCTTCCAAAGTAACCAATCAGAATCTCGGTTTCCTTCTTCAATGTGCACTAGAAGGAGGAAAAAAAAAAAGTCAGATTGGCTACTATGAGCAGATAGGAAGAGATGATGATCCCTTCACACACCAAAAGAGCTCCAAAGCAATTTCCAATCAGACATATTTAAAGACACCCAATCAAGCACCAGTATTAATAAACATTTGGCTGCGGCCTTTAAACAACTCCAACAGTGAATGTGGCAGGCCATGGTCAGTCCATATATGATGCGTACAACAAGAAGGCTGACATTAAAAACAGTCCAAAAAACATTCCAGATGTGTTGTTCAGGTCTGATCTAATGTTCTCCTTCCTTTGCCTCTCGATGTGATTCCGTCTTTCCTTCCAGAGTTTCTCCCTCGCCAACTGCTCTCCGTAGTGCGCCTGGTAAAACGCATCAAAGTCAAACATTTGCTTGGCAGGGGTGGAGGAGGACAACGTGGCTTTGGATGCCTGTCTCTGGCCAGCAGCCTCTTTAGGTGACGGGCTCTTCCCGCTGGGCTTCCTGGCACTGCGGACGTCCTCCAGGCTCAGGATCCCCCGGTCGTACTTCTTCCTCAGGGTGGTGCTGCCCAGGACATGATAGGCCTCCGTCACTTGGCCGAAGAGTCTGGTGGCGGACTCGTTGCCGGCATTGCGGTCGGGGTGGAAGCGGAAGGACTGCTTGTAGTAGGCGGCCTTGATCTGGGCCTGCGTGGCATTTTTAGACACCTCCAGGGTGTCATAGTATCCGGTGTGGGTCAGGTATAGCGGCTTCTCTGACTCCTGTGCTCCATTGTTATATCCACCATGGCGGCCCCCAGTCTGGCGGAAGGATGCTCTAGGGCCACTGCCTTGACTGTAGAAGCGGGCCCCTGATGTGGCAATCTGTGGCATGCCACCTAGCCCCCACATACACTGGCCCCGAGGAGCAGAGGGCCACAATGTCCGCTTCCACTCACTGCATTCAGCTGTTTGTCTGTTACCTACAACAGGAGTCACACATGATACAGCCTCCAGAGCCCGGCCACCCGGGATAACATCTTCTACAATCTGAAGCTGAGCACTTCTCCGGAACAACCTCAGTCTGACCTCCGCCATGTCTGCCGGAGCAGAGGCGGGTACACCGGTCTCCACCAGTCAGTAACATGACACGCTGCAAGGAGTCACGGTGGCGGAGAACTCAAGCTGTACAGCAATTGGTTGGTCAATCGAATCTTCCAACAGTCTCAGCCAATCAAATAAAAGAAGTACTCCACAACGAGGCTTGCACCTCACAAACCCGAACACAGGTTGCAAAAGTTCACTTCTTCCTACGGTCCCGTCTCCAAATATAGGAGCCAAGAATCCCGTGGAAGCCATTTTGTTGAAGACTTCTAGTACATTTATTAATAGAAATGAACTCCAACAAGATGTCAAATCGTGGAGACAAAAATGACTCATACATTTCGACATCTACCGAGTTGCGTGCTGTGCGCCATGACGTTCAATGTGTGCGCGGACAGCACGAGTTTACAGAGTTTGGAATCATGGCTGGGAGTGTGAGAAGACCGGAGCAGACTGGACCCCCAGAACTGGTGAGGGGGGAAGGGACGAACGAACGAACTTTTATATGGCTGGAGTATTTTTTTAACCATTTGGGCACGAGAGCATTTATTTCATTTTTTGCAGACGTAAAAATCTGCAATTTTTGGCTATGGAATTACTGAAAACCCCTGAAGATTATATACTTTCTAAAAGCAGAGACTCTGTAGAGTAAAAAGATAGTTAAAAATATTTATATTGAGCAATATTTGTGCAACTGTTTGTTAAACGCATATTTTTGGGAAAAAATATATATAAAATGAATTTTATAGCAAACAAACACCATAATATCCAATGTTGTGATAAAATATGAAAGATGATGTTGTGTCAAGCAAATAGATACCAAACATGTCAAGTCTTAAAAAAAATGCATGCACCCGTGATATTGTGAAAAATGAGGATATGCAAAAATTTCCATGGTGAGCTGTAAAAACCTTGACAGCTTATCAATTTAGACTTACCTATGAGCTATAGCCCTAGAATTATTGCTGTCACTCTGACGTTCTCGGCGGTACTTCACATATGTGGTGCGATTGCGGTCTTCATACACCCTGTGCGCGTTTGTTTGCATTTGCGGGTGTGTGCAGGGCAGCAGGTTTACAGTTACTTTTTTTTTTTTGTTTAGTTTTTAATTTATTTAACTTTATTGCTATCACAAGGGGTTAAAAAACTCCTATGCGTTACCATTGGGCAGGTGACAGGTACTCTTTACAGAGACATTTTTAAAGATGAATGCAAAGCATTCTGTGATTGGATGAGGTGGAGTTCATGACATTGCTGCCTTACCTTGTCCAATCAGAGAATGCTTTCTTGGGGGGTAAGGTGGACAAGTGTGGAAGAGGCAGGGGAAGGGAAGAAAAGGGGGGAAGGGGTAGAGGTGTTAAAGGAGGAGAGAAAGCGGAAGAGACAGAGCTGTGGAGAAATACACACAACATACCATATAGATAACAAGTAAATATTTTAGACTCATGTGGTATAGGTTACAATGTATTATTTGTTAGAATTTTGTAGTTCTTAAAGTGAAGTTCCAGTCAAAGTGGAAAAAAAAAAAAAAAAAATTGCAGTCCTCAGCTTGTGCCTGTTTTTCTCAGGGGGCTCCAGGCTGTAAAGTAAAAGTGATTTGGCAACTGTATAGCTGCTGATCACTTTCACAGTGTGGGGGGAGTGTTTTCCCTTGCTGTATGTTTCAGAGCTCTCTCGCTTTTACCTGGAGCCCTGGACCACAGCAAAGGGCTTCAAAATGGTGGGCAAGCGGATCTCCTCTGCCTGAACAATAATTTGGTCATGTCCGGTTTCTGAGACATCGTTCTCTGTCTGATACAGCTAGAGACACATGTAACTGAGCAGATCTTTGCTTGGTTAGATGCTTTGGAGGGTAGGGGAGACATTGGTGTCTAATAGACCCCCAATGTCTCCATAGAGAGCCCCCCGTTATGGGACCCGGAAGACAGCAGCGATCACTGTAGTAGCATGCCTACTACAGTGATTCCTCACTTCCATAGCTGGCATACAGGTATGGAATATGTATATCTACACTGTTACAAGATGAACCAATGTAACTATACAGTACAAACAATACCTGGAATTTAACTTCAAAGCAGTATTAAATGCCGTCAAAATGAAAATGAAAAAAAAAAAAATGGTCCCCTAGTACTGTGCTCTTCCATTTTTGCCTGGTCGTCTTTGGCCGCTTGAATGGCAGGGCCTCAATGACACCACTTCCACACAAGCATGGGAGTCGCAGACTCCGGTGCTGTAAATGTTGTTTGCACTGCACATGCATGTCTCAGATCAAATTACTGCTGACAGGCAGGTAGAGGCATTTATGACAGTAGAAAGCACTAGGGTCTCTTTAGTTGTATAAACCATACCTGTCAGCAGTTTTTTCCAAATGTATGTTCAATACCACTTTAACTATATGTATGATCAGAACAACATTTTCTGTCTGCTGTTTACTCTGGAACTGCTGCAGTTCTAATCTGTATTATTTTATTTTAGTTTTACAATGAAGATGAAGCAAGAAAATATACCCAGAAGTAAGGAAGAAATGTGTTTTGTGCACTCTGTTTGGCAGACAATTGTAACGGTGTGTTTAAGATTGTTTTTTTTTTTTTTCTTTTTACTTAGCTCTCGTATAATTGATATCCAATCGCAGATGTCAGAGCGTGCGGTAGAGCTCTTGTGCTTGCCAGAAGATCAGCCATGCTACCTGCTGGATGTGGGGTATATTCCCTCATTAGGAATTTAACAGAATGTTCTTTAAATTGAATATGTGTGTATGTTCAGTCTTGTAGAATATAAACTTTGCATTACAATCCTTTTCCCATTTATTCTATAGCTGTGGCTCGGGGCTGAGTGGAGATTACATAACTGAACAGGGACATCATTGGGTTGGAATAGACATCAGTACTGCCATGCTGGGTAGGTTGCCAGATTTTCAAAATGAACTCCAGGGGCACCCTACTGACCTTGCCCATTTTTAAACCAAACATACAAATTACACCCCTTTTGTAGCCACACTCACAAAACGAAGCCTCTATTTTTAACATACCCTGTAACAACTGGTTACAGACTTTGCAACAAGAGGCAGACATTGAGAGAGACACACACAGAGTGCAGGGTTCAGGTGTGTGTAACACACACACAGTCGAACCAAAGTTTTATTCTCCCACTGTACAGATGCAGGGTCAGGAATGAATAATGCACGAAGCGTGTACAGGGTTCAAGAGTATGTAACACTCAGGCCAGTGTATACAGTAGAACCAAACATTTCCTCCCCCTTTCCAGTACAGATGCAGGAGTCAGAAGTGTGTGCCGTGTGGAGAGCAGGGTTCAGTTCTCCATGCAGACCTTTCCTTCCCAGTACTGACCTCTCACTTCCACCCCCACCCTCCTCATATATCCTTCAGCACAGACCTCTTCCCCAGTACAAACTTTGCCTTCCCAGTACAAACCTCTTCCCCTGAAGTTCACCCAACAGACCTCAGATATAGCTCCAGGGCACAGTGAGGGGGAAGTCCTCAGCAGCGTCATGTGACACTGCATATTGGAGCTGAGGAGGAACTTGGGGGGAGCCTAACTTGGCCCTGTAAAGCCACTGTGTCTGAGATCTTAAAGCAGAGTTCCACCTGAAAAAAAAAAAATTTAATTCAGCAGCTACAAAAACTGTAGCTACTAACTCTTAAAATACAGATACTTACCTGTCCCTTGGTCCAGCGGTGTCCTCACCACCGCTGGTTTCACCAGCCATCTTCTGTCCCTGGCGCCGGCATCTTTAGTGTGGGCACCCGGCTGTGACAGCTTGCGGCTTCACAGCTGGGTGCCCACTGCGCATGCGTGAGAAGTGCTGCGCTTTGAGACTGGCCCGTAGTCTTCAGGGACCTGTCACGTCTTTAAGAAGCCAGAAACGTCAATGCAGTGTTGAAAAAAAAAAAAAGTCTGGCTGTCACAGTGTTAGGAACCACAAGAAATGCAGGTATCAAACCCTAGCAAATCCCCCGCATTGTACTACCAAACGGTCAGGGACATTTGTTTCTTAGGGACAGACCTCCTAAAACAGAGAACTGTCCCTGGGAAATGGGGACAATTGGTAACCATTATGCCTTCATGCTGATGTTTTAGTAATTTTGTTTACATTATAGTTTTGCTTTCTTCAGATGTGGCATTGGATCGGGAAGTTGAAGGGGATCTTATCCTAGGTGATATGGGTCAGGGTGTCCCTTTTCGTCCTGGGACCTTTGATGGTTGCATAAGGTATGATGGCTGTATAGTAAGTGTTCTAGTTGTATTTCATATATTGTTGGTAGTAATTAGCATGTAATCTTTATCACATGAGACTGTCAACTGTAGTAATGGTCAGTGAAATAAAGAAAACTATAGTTGTAGTATGCATGTCTGAGGGTTGGCATTAACACAAATTGTTTTATTTCTCAGCATTTCAGCTCTGCAATGGCTTTGTAATGCTGACAAGAAAAGTCACAATCCCCCGCGCCGTCTCTTCCGCTTTTTCACAACTCTTTACTCTGCCTTGGTATGTATACTGGTATAGGAAATGTATGAGAAAAATAATTGTGGTTTTTTTTTTTTTTTTTTTTTTTTAGTATCTACACAGTGTTTGACCCAGCATTAAGATACTGTAATGAAGAATTCTGCAGTATTTATAATTACAGCCTATAGCAGTGATGGCGAACCCATGGCACGCGTGCCACAGCCGGCACGCCGAGCCTTATCTGTGGGCACGCCAGGAGAATACCGTATTTTTCGCTCCATAAGACGCACTTTTTTTCCCCCAAAAAAGGGGGGAAAATGTCAGTGCGTCTTATGGAGCGAATATAGAGCGGCCGGTCCGGTATTTCCACCGCCGCCGTGTCAGAATACCGGGCCGGCCGCTCAGCTCTGCAGTGGGACCTTACCTGTCCCTCTATCCAGCGGCGCGCTGTCTTCCCGGCTTCTGTAGTGTGCGTGACAGCCGGGTCCCAAGTGCGCATGCGCAAGAAGCAGTGCTCTTTGTGAATGGTAAGGCGGTACCTGGGACACATGACAGATCCCAGAAGCCGCCGGACCAATCACAAAGCGCAGCGCTTCTCGCGCATGCGCACTGGGCATCCGGCTGTCCGACGAGCGCCCACACTACAGAAGCCGGGAAGACAGCGCGCGGCTGGATAAAGGAACAGGTAAGATAAAAAAAAAAAACTCTGCGGAAGTAAGAGCGGGTATCTGTCAAATTCAAGTACCCGCTCCCCCTCCCTCCCCAAAGGTCAGCAGTCATCTGTACTGTCCGCAGTCTCTGGTCATCCCTGTGCTTTCCGCAGTCTCTGGTCATCCCTGTACTGTGTCCGCAGTCTCTGGTCATCTCCTGTACTGTCCGCAGTCTCTGGTCATCTCCTGTACTATGTCCGCAGTCTCTGGTCATCTCCTGTACTATGTCCGCAGTCTCTGGTCATCTCCTGTACTATGTCCGCAGTCTCTGGTCATCTCCTGTACTATGTCCGCAGTCTCTGGTCATCTCCTGTACTATGTCCGCAGTCTCTGGTCATCTCCTGTACTATGTCCGCAGTCTCTGGTCATCTCCTGTACTATGTCCGCAGTCTCTGGTCATCTCCTGTACTATGTCCGCAGTCTCTGGTCATCTCCTGTACTATGTCCGCAGTCTCTGGTCATCTCCTGTACTATGTCCGCAGTCATCTCCTGTCTGGGTCATCTCCTGTACTATGTCCGCAGTCTCTGGTCATCTCCTGTACTATGTCCGCAGTCTCTGGTCATCTCCTGTACTATGTCCGCAGTCTCTGGTCATCTCCTGTACTATGTCCGCAGTCTCTGGTCATCTCCTGTACTATGTCCGCAGTCTCTGGTCATCCCTGTACTGTCCGCAGTCTCTGGTCATCCCCTGTACTGTCCGCAGTCTCTGGTCATCTCCTGTACTGTGTCTGCAGTCTCTGGTCATCTCCTGTACTGTGTCCGCAGTCTCTGGTCATCTCCTGTACTGTGTCCGCAGTCTCTGGTCATCCCTGTACTGTGTCCGCAGTCTCTGGTCATCCCTGTACTGTGTCCGCAGTCTCTGGTCATCCCTGTACTGTGTCCGCAGTCTCTGGTCATCCCTGTTCTGTGTCTGCAGTCTCTGGTCATCCCTGTACTGTGTCTGCAGTCTCTGGTCATCTCCTGTACCGTGTCCCCCTGTCCGCAGTCTCTGGTCATCTCCTGTACTGTGTCTGCAGTCTCTGGTCATCCCTGTACTGTGTCCGCAGTCTCTGGTCATCCCTGTACTGTGTCCGCAGTCTCTGGTCATCCCTGTACTGTGTCTGCAGTCTCTCTGGTCATCCCTGTACTGTGTCTGCAGTCTCTGGTCATCCCTGTACTGTGTCTGCAGTCTCTGGTCATCTCCTGTACTATGTCCGCAGTCTCTGGTCATCTCCTGTACTGTGTCTGCAGTCTCTGGTAATCCCTGTACTGTGTCTGCAGTCTCTGGTCATCCCTGTACTGTGTCCGCAGTCTCTCTGGTCATCCCTGTACTGTGTCCGCAGTCTCTGGTCATCCCTGTACTGTGTCCGCAGTCTCTGGTCATCCCTGTACTGTGTCCGCAGTCTCTGGTAATCCCTGTACTGTTAATTAGTTTGCACTACTGTACGAGTTGTTTTTTCTAAACCAAAAGCTCGATATTCAGGTTTCATTGCAGTGTTGGCACTTTGAAAGAAATAAGTTGGTTTTGGTTGCAGTTTGGGCACTCGGGCTCAAAAAGGTTCGACATCACTGGCCTATAGTGGCAAATAACTACTTTGAAGCTTTATTGCTCTATCTGTTCTGATTAACCTAATCAGAAACCTCAAATAAATATGGTTTCTGATTTAAAAGGTGGCTCCATTAAATGTCATGAAAGAAAGTTAAAAAGTCGGCCATGTAGGCCAACTTTTTTAAGAGTGATAATTTCACTGTCTGTCCTCCTTTTTTTTTTTTAATTCTTTAGGTAAAGGTTTTGCCGGAATACAACAAATTGACCGTTATATACAAATCACTTAATATTCCAAATGAATACACTCAAATATGAAAATGATCCAGAACGCGTATCAGTACATGGTATAACATAATATAAAGAGCATCTCCCAATGTGCTTCAGCTCCCAAGGGGGGGGGGGCCTCGTTGGTTGTATCTATCAATTGGGCAGCCACAAGTTTTTCCTAAATCATTCGCCCTGGCAAGCTATTGGTGGATCTGGTGATTTTTCAGTAACATTTTCTGGACCGAGGCATCAAGTTTAAGATTCACTGTCTGTTCTAATTAGAGAGGGAGCTCATACATCTGTGCCTGCAAAGGAAGGTGTATGAGAGATTTAATCACCATCTGCCTTGCTTTCAGAATGTGCCTCTGTATTAAAGCTGAAGTTTTTTGTAAAAATATTTTTGTGTATACCTCACCAGTGTAATAATGTACCTCTAATGATGTGTCTCACATTATGCTGGCTTCTGGTTACTGTAATTGCACTTCTCAGTGATGCTGGAGACCTCCCCATATCTGTGAACTTCTGGCCCTGTGGGGATTTATAACAGTGGCTGCAACTTTTACTCCTACTATTCTTCTTCCAGAAATTCTTTCTGTGAATGGGTGGGGGGGGGATCTTTCCATTTATCTGCTCCTTCCCCATTCATAGACTGCAGTGCATTCTAGGAGATGATTAGGATCGGTTTTATATGAATGGCCAAGGGAACAGGAAGGGGAAGGTGGGCAATGTCGGTCTCCAAGAAACAATTGCTCCTGAGCACCAGTTCCTTAGCGAGCATAGGAAAAACACTCTGGATAGCAGGGCACGTATTCATTTTCCTAGGCTGACACGGGCTTAAAGTAAATCTGCAGTTTTCTCATGGAAGGCAAAGCAAAAGGTTAGCTTACCAACTCTCCCCAGCGAAACATACCCACCTTCCCTTCTCTCTCTTGCCACTCTGTTCAGCTTCAAGAAATCGAAAGTAGCCAGCCCCCTGTATACTCTGATTCATGACTCTGAAAATATACAGGTTGAAGACATGTGACAGAGATGTGTATCTAAGTCTTCAATCAGTAAGCGCCAGCGCTGTCCCTTTTTCTTTTGGTCCTGGCAGCCAAACATGATTATGCGCTGGTGGGAAGGAGGAAAGCTAAGTGAGAAAGTTGCAGTAACCTATTGCAACTAATCAGATTTCTGATTTCACTGATGAGAATACTGTAAATAGATTTGTAATCAATGCTGGTGACTGCAATTGACTTATCCTCATTGCCGTTTGCACTGATTTATTTTAATATCCCATGGAGGCTCATTTGTGCTCAAATAAGACTTTGTTAGAGAGTTTTATCATTCTGCTTCTGGTCCTATTGGATTGATATGCTTAATTGTACTTATTGTTTCGTTAACATATATATGCGTGGATGCATGTGAATCGCATGCATTCCCGCACCCGCAGGCAAACCATGCTGATATGTAGCAGATATGTGGGGCTTCTTTAATTCTTAATGTCACCCCACACATCTGGTGTGGGAAATCTTGTGATGTAAAAGTACTATGCAGTTTCTGTGCAGCTGCGATTTTAAAAAGGTGCAAGGACCTTTTTCCTGTGTTTCTTGCAGGTGCAGCAGCCCATTCCAATAAATGGGCTACTATGCCTGTGCAAACATAACCCACACCAATCTCATACATATGAACCTATCATAAAGTTGCAATTCATGTGTCCCATGAAATCTGTGGAACTTTTAACACACTTTGTACTTCTTTTGGCAGGCTCGTGGCTCCCGTGCAGTTCTGCAGCTGTATCCTGAAAATGCTGAGCAGGTCTGGGCTTTTTTTTTTTTTTTTTTGTAATAATACTTTTTCCCTGTATCTCTGTATCCTGAGTTCACAGACCATAATAAATATAATAATAAAAATAATTTCATTGAGGTGTATCCTGCAGCTTTTTTTTAAGAAAAAAAATATTTGAAGCTGTGCTGCACAATGTACAGTATTTAACGTTCTAATAACTGCTCAATAAAAAATAAACCAACAACAAACCTTTCCGCAGCGGTGCTCCTGGCTCCTCTCCATTAAAGTGCGCCCCCCCATCAAGCCAATTGCTGGGGAAGGGGGGGTACTCATGCAAGTTTGCTCCCGGGCCACGCTGGCTGCATCTATAGCCTCACCTCCTGCTCCCTCCTCACTGGCTTTGATTGACAGCAGCAGAAGCAATGGCTTCCGCTGCTCTCTCTGAGCCAATGAGGAGGCAGAGAGCCGGGTCCAGGGTCTGGAAGGGTGGCTGCCCTGGGTGTCTGTAGCATGTGGGAAGGGGCAGCCAGGAGAATTTCTGCCACTACAAGCTGACAGGAGGAGTGACAGTGTTATCAGTACCCCTGTCACCTTAGTGCTGGATTACATATGCTAAATCTGCTCAAAAAACGCAGCTGGAAGTCGGATTGGGACTTTTGAGGGGATATCTTGAGGGTGTTAAAAGGGGGAGATTTGGGGGGAAGCTTTTGTGCTAGTAAGGATGATTGGGGGATATTTGTGCTGGGCGGGGGGGGAGGGGTTGGAAGGGTGGATTTGTGCTGGGAGGGGATATTTGGGGGGTGACTGGGATTTGTTCACATTTGTTCTAGAAAGAAAATTTGGGTAGGATGTGCTAGGAGGAGTGATTTGGGTTTTGTCTGCGAGGGAATGGGGCAAGACGTTTTGTGCTAGGAGGGGGGGGATTTCGGGATTGTGTTAGAAGGGGAAATTGGGGGGGTGAGGAATTTGTGTTAGGAAGGGGGAGGATGATTAATGGGTATTTGTGCTAGTAGGGTACATTTGGGGAGGGATCTGTGCTAGTAGGGTTGACTGGGGGGGTATTTGGGCTAGGAAGGGAAATTAGGTGTGCCAAGAGGGTGGGGGGTTGTGCTAGCGGGGGAGATTTAGGGACAGAGAGGATTTGAGCTTAGAGGGGGAATGGGGGGGGGGGGTTGTACTAGCAGAAGGGGAATATTGGTTTGCAAAGAAAATTTATGCCTAGGGGCCAATTAGTGCTTTTTTTCCTTTCTTTGGGGGAGGGGGAATTTTTGCTGACACATGATGCCTTATACATCTTTGGGGAGGGCACAGTTTGGCATCTTTGCCCTGGGCTCTAGATGACCTTGTCCTGGCACTGGCCCAGGACAGCAGCCGCTCTTGTACACATCTCTGGATCAGGCTCATGTAAGTATTAGGGAGGCTGGGTTGTGTTTGTATAGTGAGGGTTTTTTACTTTAATGCATGGAATGCATAAAGGTAAAAAATCTTTAGCCTTTACAAACACTTTAATATCTTGTTAATTGAAAAATAGTTCCTCGAGCTCTGTGTTTTTCTGAATGAAGAGGTCCCTGTTTCATAAGATAAAATCAACCTAGATCTTAGAACTTTTCTTTTGATTGTGGAGCATATGACTTTTCACACAATAAAGCCTCATGGGGTAATGGGCAGTAATGTCATTTTCTAAATAAAGATCTTAATGTAGAATTCCAGCTTTCATTTTACATTAAAGCCTAACTCCAGATTTTAGTGAACTTTAAAAAAGTTAATTTGGACCAAACTGATTCAATCAAACTATTTCCTTCAGCAACACATGCAGTAGCTGTGTGACTGTATAAACTGTATGTAGCATCATACATACAGTATACAGTGCTGTGTTCCAGCAGCGGGATGGGAACCTCCTGTCTGACTCCTGTACAAAATTGAGTTTGGCTGACCGCTACTCAGCCGTTCACAGGAAGCCTTGTATTTTACGAATGAATACAAGGTTTCCTCTGACTGGCTGAGGTTAAGAGGCGGATGGATGACGTCACGATTTCTACCTTGGCCAATCAGAGGAAGCCTTCTGTTCATTGATAAAATTATAAGGTGAAGAAGCACTCAGGCCACATTTCTTTAATTCCAGTAGCAGATGGGCAGTCACCCATATCATTGACGGAGCACAGCGCCACTTACTGTATGTGGCTAATGCTACTGCAGTGCATTACAATGCACACACACCAGCAGAACAGTTATGTAATAGAAATTGTTTGTATGGGCCAGCTTAGAAAGCTGGGATTCTACTTTAAATAAACTTCATACATGCAGTGCTATAGCTGTTGATTTGTTTTGTTTTTTAAAAGATATTTGACTATAGAGTTTATTTATGTGCTGTGTATCTTCTCTTGAAGTTGGAATTAGTGACAGCCCAGGCAATGAGAGCTGGATTTACTGGAGGGATGGTAGTCGATTATCCTAACAGTACAAAGGCTAAAAAGTAAGTCTTTCTTTTTTTTTTTTTTCTACAAACCGAAAATATTATTTTCTCACATGTTTTGCTTCTTAGAAGCATTGGTTTCATTAGAATATAAAAATGTAGCCAAAAACCTGTCTGTCCAGCTTCATTGCTTGACACGTCATTGACATGTCTTCCAACTAGTATGCCACTTAGGAGTACACTGTGAACATTGCTGAAAGTAGTTAACTTGACGGGATGTTCCTGGTGATAAATACTTTTTGTATTTTTTTGCCAGTAACAATTACGACTATAGAATTAAATTTTTTTTTCTGAAACTTTCAACATGAACGTTGTACTACTTCTAGTGCTATATATACAATTCTGTTTTGGATCTCGGGTGTTAAAGTGCTTTATTTGTATGTAGAAAGTAGGTTTACTTTCCTCATCCATTGGCACTAATACCTTAAACTCTTGGCGCTGATCGCAACGCAAATGTGCAACCTCCCAGTGTGTGGGCCTTGACGCAGAGCGGCCGCACATTTGTGTGCAATTAAGAAAAACATAAGTGCTGAGAGCGCACGCCCTGCGTGCTCCCAGCACACATGTCTGGTACTCATGGAAAGGTCCTGATCTTCTCTTACGATCGGGACCTTTCCCGATCATGTGACAGCGAATCACGGCAGTCACATGACCCTAAAACCCTGCCCCGCCCCCCGGCTTCTGAAACCCTTAAAGGGCCGGGAGGCATCGGCGCCAAGGGGTTAAAGTCTGAAAGGTCACTCTCAACAGAGTGTATTCATTCATTTATATGCATTCACACAAATGCTTACTGATTTGTCTGTTCCCCCAGATTTTTCCTGTGTCTGTTTGCCGGAATATCAGGGGTGTTACCTAAGGTAAGTTTACCCAGACAGGTTTTTCGCATCCTGCATTACATTCAGTTCACTGGCCCGAATAGTTGCAAACCTCTGTTCTAGCATCAACATGAATGCAAGGTATTCAATAGTTCTAAAGTAAAGAAGAACACATTGGTCTCTGAATTAGGGTAAATGTAAAATCCTTTATTACACTTATCTCAAGGGCTGCCATTAAGGCACAATCTGCGTGATCCTGACCCTGGCACACTGCAGTCAGAGCAGTAGAAGTATCTGCAATTATTCATAGCCACTAGTTTTTGGCTACATACATTGAATGCTTACTACAGTAAACTGGCTATAGGCTTATGACTATGGAACTGGCCTATATAGCGTATACATCAATGCTGAAAGTAAAAAAACAAAAAACAAACTTGTGGTTATATGACATACTTTTGTGTTTGTCATTGCTGTTGAGTTCATTCCCCTAGCTGTTCATTTGACTGACCTATAAAGAAAATACAAATATTTAGGGAAGGAAAAACCACTGATACGCTCTTTGGATGACTTAGCATGCAGGATGTGGAAGTGGACAAAATAAAATAAAACTTGAAGCATAAATACACTGTCATTGTAGATTTGTTTTGGAAGATCCAAGCTTTTGGGGTTGTCAATCTTATTGTTTTGACTACTTTTGAGTTACTGACTTTTTAACAAGTGCATGTGAGGTGTTCTGACAAGGTAGCAAGCATTTTGCTGTACTATTAGCCTGCCAGCGCGGTACCTGTGTCCAGCACAGTTATGGAGGATACATTTTTTTTATCAGTTTGTGCTTTTATGTTTACAGGGTTTGGGTGAAATGTCAGCAGAACAAGGAGTAACGCATCAAGCTTCATTTATCAAAGAGAGGTAATTTTGTGGTATATGTACTTAGTTTAAAATGTATATTATTTTTGCACAATTCAGTGTTTGATGTATGACAGAGAGTGGATATTGCTTTCTGTTCTCCACTGTATACACAGTAACAACAGTAATGCGCCACACTTTGGCCTGCATTTTACAGCCCATTCATGAAATGCAGGCCTTGGTGTGGAGCCTGCTCTATGTCCAAGTTTTCTCTGCTTAAAGTGGTTGCATACCCTTACATATACCCAGTGAAGTGACTGGCCTCAGTTGATACACAAAAGAAACAAATCCCCCTACATAATTTGTACCTGTTTATCTGCAGTTTTTTTTACATCCATTCAAAGTCCAGAATGTATAAAGCTTGTCTGAGCATTCATAAAACAGGGGGTGGGGAGCTGGTTACACACTGTAGAGACTCAGTGAGGAGAGCTCTGAGAACAGAGGGAATGGACCCCCCCCCCCCCCTTCACACAGCACACAGGAACAGAGTTGAGGCTGTCAATTACAGGTTGTGTGCTGGAGGTCCCTCTCCTGTAACCTCTTTTTTCTTGGTGTCAGGAAAATTTGAAAGAGGTAATTCATGCAAAGGAACAGAAGCGACCGTCAGAAAAGACACTTAGTGCTCTGGATTGAGACAAGTGCACACTATAGAGGGATATGCTTTGTTCATATTTCATGTCTGAGGTTTACAACCACTTTAATGCTGTAGGGCTTTATAAGTGTGCTTCTTTTACTTTTTAAAGCAGTGGTATATAGCCATGGTAAAGCTTACTGGTTTTTAAATAAAACCCTTAGTATTTTTTGTAGATGTTTTAATATTCAGATGAATCCACATTTTGCTGTTTTGGCTTATTGGTCCAGATAGCTCAATGCCTTCTGTGTTTCCTTGTTGTTACACTGTGCTGCCAGAAGATGGAGCTGCAGAGTCACCATACAGTTTTGCAGATTTTCTCTCCCCCCACACCTGCTTATGGCAGAATATCACAGTTGACCTTTCTCACAGTTAATTGGTGTTAATTTTTCTACAGTTTTAGAAGTTTAAAATAATATCATTGTCTATTGAATCCGTACTGATTCTCTATGTGAAATATTACTTGGTGTGCTGACACAAATGTCTGTCTACTTATGCTGGAAGGAACAGGGTCTACCTTACAGCTTACAAGACAGACCACAGTAAAAGAGGTTCTACGTCATGCCTGCTATTAGGTGCTGGCGTGTTTTCCTGCCTCTTACATTTACACCATAACAGAATAATAACCATTTCCTGACACACAGGATGAGATTTAAAAATGCCAAAGGGAAATCTGTGAAGAAGAGCAGAGAGACTGGATAATTGAAAAGAAAGAACGACGCAGACGGCAAGGAAAGTGAGTAGCTGTCATTTTATTTTTGATGATGTCAAAGTCTCATGAAGTCAGAATAGGGCTCCTTTAATTAGATATTTTCGGTTTGGGCTTACAGTTCAAGGTTCTCAGTTTAAGAATGGCATTCCTGCTAGCTGCAGGGAGAAGCGTACTGAAACTAAACTCTTAACAGTTTCCCTAAAGCTGGCCATAGATGAGTCAAATCTCGGACTAGCTTGAGATTGGATCCATCCATGGGCTGGCTGGCTGTACTGAAGTCCATCCATTGATCGAGTTCAGTACAACCAGTTTGTCTGATTTTTTTTTTTTTCATGCAATCAGTGATCATTGTGTTCTGCTGGAAGGGAAGACTCCTAGAACACAAGAGCACTGTGGGAGGGAAGGGATTCACAGTCCGTGTTGATGGGGGAATCGAGCAATCTTCTTCTTTTCACCTGTCACGGAAGAAAAGAAAATTGCATAATCTATGAGCTGCTTAACCACTTGCAGATCTCCCACCCACAGCATACAGCAGAGGGGCGACCCCTACAGTCGCCCTAAAAACCCACCTCTTCAGGGACGCCTACCCCACCCTCTGCTAACTGCTGATCTCCACTCTTCCTACCACTCCACCCCCCACAGCTTTTCCTCCCGTACCACTATCCCCTCCCTCCTAGATTGTAAGCTCCAAGGAGCAGGGCCCTCGAACCCCTCGTGTATCTCATTGTATTGTTATTGTACTGTCTCATGTATTGTCCCCCATTGTAATGTACAGCGCTGAGCGAACTGTTGGTGCTATATAAATACTGTATAATAAATAACAATAATACAGTCACAGCGACATACCTGTATATTGCTGGGTTCTTCCAGGTACAGAATGCGCTGGCGCGCCCAACTCTCACTATGATTGTACACAGTGGGAGTTTGTCAGCAGGTTCCAGCCCAAATTTTCAGAAATATGTGTACCAGATTCATCCCTTACATGTCATATTCTTCAATTACCAGGCTGAGGATTGTTTGCTAAACATGCAGAGCATGACAAGCCAGATGCTTCTAGCAGGATACTATGCTTTGGTAGTCTACTGCCTTCGTTATTTACCCCGAAGGCTTCTGCTGGGTCTTAAAGGAATTATACCACAAATAAATACAGGTAGTCACTTATGGTGGCCATACACATTGCAATAAGACCGAATGATCAGTGTCAGATTTAACAAATTGATCAACTTGGACACTGAGCAAGGCAAAAAATGGCATGATTGAGTGATAAGCAACAAATGTTGACTTCTTCAGTCAAACCCAAGTCAATCTCTTGTGGCAAAAAAAAATAAATTTCGCACAAGGTTATTCATTTTTTTGTGCTCTTACATGTAGATTGATCATATGTGATTCACAAGAGCATGAAAAATGACATTGATCAGTTCGTACAATTATTATTTTTTTTTTTTTTTCCCCACCACAACCAATTGACTTGGGTTGATTGAAACTGCCACTGTCTGTTGTTTAACCCTTTTGCTGCCAGGCCCTTCGTGCCACTTTTAAACCCAGCTGGCCAGACCATTTTTGCAAGTTTCTATTGCGTTTTTTATTTTGCCCTTTAAAGCTTTCAGAGTTTGTAAAATACCCCCCCAAACCATATATTTTCTGAAAGCACATGATCAGTAGAATAAGAAGATGCTACTGATTTTTAAGACTGTTCAATATTTGCACAAATGTTTATCAAAGCAATATTTTTGCTGAAAATGCACCAAAATCATTATTAGTAGATAAAAACACAGCAGATTTTAGAATATTCCTGCTATATATGAAAGGTTAACCTGTTTTGAATTAATAACATGTATTTGTACAGTTTAAATTGTGCCTTTTTGCGAAATGGTGAAAATCGAACATAAACAAAAATGTAAATATCCAAATTTCTCTAAAAATCTGGAGATTTTAATTTTTCACTTACAACTTTCAGAGTTTGTGAAAGACCCCCCAAACCCATATATTTTCTAAAATTGTAGGACTAGTAGAATAAAAAGAAGGTGCTACTGATTTTTAGACCCCACAATAAGTTGTGAAAATGTTCATCAAATTGCTATTTTCACTTAAAATACACTAAAATCATTATTAGTGGATACATACATGGCAAAATTTGCACAATTCCTGCTAAATTCCTATTAAGTTCAGGGGTGTGGAAATTTTTGAAAAAACTGCTTGTCCAGGGACTAAATCGGTGCGCCAATCTACTTGTCCCTCATGACAATCTACTTGTCCAGATGAAAAAAAATTAATTTTAACTAAAACCGTATTTAAATCAGAGGTGATTTTAAGAATGTTTTAGAAACAAAAGGGGTTTTTATGGCGACTTAAAATGTGTAACATTATTAACATTGTGCTGTTTATCTCCCCATCCCCCCCCCCCCCCCCCTGCCTGGCTCCAGCACCACATTTGGGGACTAGCAGGGAGGAGAGAGACCTTGCAGTGTAATGAGCACCGACTGGCTGCTCCTCAGGAAGGGGAGTGTCAGGCTTATCCTTTATCCCTTTTGCTGCCAGAGCTATTTTTGTTTTTTTTTGTACAAGATTAGAAAAATAATTTTAGGGCTGAAGATTACATAAAACCCCCAAATATGATATATTTTCTAACATCAGAGACCCTAGAGAATAAAAGTGGTAGTTACAATTTTTTGTCGCATGATATTACTGCAAACTTTCAGTAAAAATACAAGTAAGTTAATTTTAGGGCACAAAAAAAGCAATAAATTGCACTATTTTTTTGAAAAATATAAAAGATGAGGTTCGAGTAAATGGATATCCAACATGCCAAACCTTAAATTTGCATGCGCTTGTGAAATGGCGGTGAATTTCAGTACCCTACATTTTCTATAGGTGATGCTTTTCAAGCCCCTTATAGGCCATCAGTATAGTGTTACGGAGGAGCTCTGGTGCTAGAATTATTGCTCTCATTCTGGCGTGCGCAACGATGTGTAACATGTGTATCACAATTGACGTTTACCTGCGTAGGTGCCCCAGCGTGTGCTTTTATGTCGGTGCGTGCGTATATGTGGGGGTGGGTGGGGCTCATTTTTTTGGGGGGGGGGGGGGATGTTATGTGCTTGCTTAGGTGTAACTTTCATTTTTTACAAATATATATATATATTTTTTTTTACAGTTAATTTTTTTTCATCACATAGAGGACAAAGTCCCCTATGTGATGATATTAGGTGACAGGTTCTCTTTATTGAGACATCCAAGGTCTAAAAGACCCTGCATGTCTCCCCTGTACTACACTGAATGTAAAGAAGTGCACATCGCACCGCATTACATTTAGTGAATCTCTCAACGGGGACCCAGAAGTGACATCATAACGTCACTTCCGGGTCAGGACAAGAAGGGGAGGGGAGTGGACATGTCCGCTCTCCTTCCTCCACTCCAGCTGATGGTGGTGAACCGGGCCCGCAGATGAGCAAGCGAAGCCCAGGAGATAATGGGCAGGGAGGGGTTCACACGAGGGGGCGGAGAGGATGGCACTGTGTAGAAGATGACACATGAGCCCTGCTGCGGACAAGCAGCAGGGCTAAAGGTAGAAGGAAACTACCGTATTTTTCGCTCCATAAGACGCACTTTTTTCCCCCCAAAAAAGGGGGGAAAATGTCAGTGCGTCTTATGGAGCGAATATAAAGCGGCCGGCCGGTATTTTTGCGGCCACCATGTCAGAATACCGGGTCGGCCGCTCAGCTGTTGTCTCCTGCAGAGCCTTACCTGTTCCACGCTCCAGCGCTGCACAGTCTTCCCGCGCTGGCTTCTATGACAGCCGGGTGCCCACTGCGCATGTGCTGCGCTTTGTGAATAATCCGGTGTCTTCTGGGACACATGAAAGGTCCCAGAAGGCGCCGGGCCATTCACAAAGCCTAGCGCTTCTCACACATGCGCAGTGGGCACCCGGCTGTCACAGAAGCCGGCCCAGGAAGAAGAGGGAAGGCAACTCCGCGGAAGTGGGAGCAGGTACCTGTCAAATTCAGGTACCCGCTCCCCCTCCCTCCCCAAAGGTCAGCAGTCTCTAATCATTCCCTTCACTGTCTGCAGTCTCTGGTCGTTCCCTGCACTGTCTGCAGTCTCTGGTCATTCCCTGCACTGTCTGCAGTCTCTGGTCATTCCCTGCACTGTCTGCAGTCTCTGGTCATTCCCTGTACTGTGTCTGCAGTCTCTGGTCATCTCCTGTACTGTGTCCGCAGTCTCTGGTCATCTCCTGTACTGTGTCCGCAGTCTCTGGTCATCTCCTGTACTGTGTCCGCAGTCTCTGGTCATCTCCTGTACTGTGTCCGCAGTCTCTGGTCATCTCCTGTACTGTGTCCGCAGTCTCTGGTCATCTCCTGTACTGTGTCCGCAGTCTCTCCTGGTCATCTCTCCTGTACTGTGTCCGCAGTCTCTGGTCATCTCCTGTACTGTGTCCGCAGTCTCTGGTCATCTCCTGTACTGTGTCCGCAGTCTCTGGTCATCTCCTGTACTGTGTCCGCAGTCTCTGGTCATCTCCTGTACGGTGTCCGCAGTCTCTGGTCATCTCCTGTACGGTGTCCGCAGTCTCTGGTCATCTCCTGTACTGTGTCCGCAGTCTCTGGTCATCTCCTGTACTGTGTCCGCAGTCTCTGGTCATCTCCTGTACTGTGTCCGCAGTCTCTGGTCATCTCCTGTACTGTGTCCGCAGTCTCTGGTCATCTCCTGTACTGTGTCCGCAGTCTCCGGTCATCTCCCGTACTGTGTCCGCAGTCTCCGGTCATCTCCCGTACTGTGTCCGCAGTCTCCGGTCATCTCCCGTACTGTGTCCGCAGTCTCCGGTCATCTCCCGTACTGTGTCCGCAGTCTCCGGTCATCCCCTGTACTGTGTCCGCAGTCTCGGTCATCCCCTGTACTGTGTCCGCAGTCTCCGGTCATCCCCTGTACTGTGTCCGCAGTCTCCGGTCATCCCCTGTACTGTGTCCGCAGTCTCTGGTCATCCCCTGTACTGTGTCCGCAGTCTCTGGTCATCCCCTGTACTGTGTCCGCAGTCTCTGGTCATCCCCTGTACTGTGTCCGCAGTCTCTGGTCATCTCCTGTACTGTGTCCGCAGTCTCCTGGTCATCTCCTGTACTGTGTCCGCAGTCTCTGGTCATCCCCTGTACTGTGTCCGCAGTCCGCATCCCTGTACTGTGTCCGCAGTCTCTGGTCATCCCCTGTACTGTGTCCGCAGTCCGCAGTCTCTGGTCATCTCCTGTACTGTGTCCGCAGTCCGCAGTCTCCTGGTCATCTCTGGTCATCTCCCTGTACTGTGTCCGCAGTCCCTGGTCATCTCCTGTACTGTGTCCGCAGTCCCTGGTCATCTCCTGTACTGTGTCCGCAGTCCCTGGTCATCTCCTGTACTGTGTCCGCAGTCTCTGGTCATCCCCTGTACTGTGTCTGCAGTCCATTGGTTCAGAATATTTTTTTTTTCTTGTTTTTCACCTCTAAAACCTAGGTGCGTCTTATGGTCAGGTGCATCTTATGGAGCGAAAAATACGGTACCTACCCGGAACTACATGTCCCGGGCGTCGGGTGATAGCAATTCAACATCCCTGGAGTTAATAAATAACAAATATCTGTAAATTTTAAATTGCGCCTTTTTGTGAAATGATGAAAATGGAATGTGCTCAAAACTGTAATTAAAAACATTTGAGGCGTATAGTTCTGATCAATGGCTTGTTAGCCGCTAATCAGAGCTATCTGCTGAAAAGTTCTGCTATAGGTTCATGGTCATTAAAGTGACAATGAGCATATAGCAGAAGAGGAATGCAGATCCGGATGGTGTACAGGCTTGGCCAGCTAGAAGCAGTGCTGTAGAGCCATACGTTGTATGGACCTGGCAGCAAAAGGGTTAATACTCAGCCATTTTATTTTTGTCTTGCTTAACCAATATCTGATTTAATAGTTTTGTCGAATCGATCATTCAGTTTTATCGCATCATGTATGCCCACCATTAGATACATACTATTATAGTTACATTTCCTAACCTATATCTATCTGGAATCGCCAATATTGACCAAGTACAATATAGAAGTTGTATAGCATTTTTTTTTTTTTTTTAGATGTGAAGATGAGCACAGATGTAAGGTCTGTGGGCATGCGTCCAAATGCAGACAGTTCAGACATGTAAACAATGTTGTTGAAATTTATTTCAACTCAAAGGAGAATAGTGTAGTGTATGCTGGGAATTGTGGTATACAAAAGTTAACACAATGTGGACCTTAGTTGGAATATGAGGGTAAATCTCCTCAAAAGGATTGCACAGTGATGAATATATGACAAAAATCCTAACCTTTCTTAACTGTTGAGGGGAAAAAAAAGTTGTTCAAGGTATACTCTACCTTTTCTTCATTTTCTAAAGCTGCTAAAAAATTCCAGTGTTATTTCTGGCACTTTGCAGTATGGCAAACCTGGGTGTGCTTTATACTGTGTACAGATAGGCCAAAGAAATGGTGAAAATGAAGGCAGACACTTGCAATGTATGTTTATTTGTTATTTATTTTTTTTAACCTAAAGAGGATTTTTTTGTTGCAAAACATTTTTTTTTTTGTAAGGCTATGGAGTTGCAGTAAATTTACTGCTGATATAAAAATAAGAGCAGACACATGATGGAACTGTGCCATAAAGAACTGTGCCATGGAAAGCCTGTTGGACCAATTGGAGACACTCTCATTCGCTTGACGTGTCTTAAAGGCATAGAACTTTCCATAAACATAGCCAAATTCTGGAAACGGCAAAGTTTTTTAGCATTTTTCCAGTATGCATCAAATGTTTTTAATTTAGTGGATTGAAGTAAATCAATATGCATACAGTTTACACTTATTTGGAATTGTAATGTTTTGTGCTTAACTGATAATTATTTTTGTTTGTCAACTCAGGGAAGTTCGAGCAGACACAAAGTTCAGTGGCCGTAAGAGAAGACCTCATTTTTAGTTATGTAAGACTCTTCCTTGTGAACAATCCAGCTATGCAGTGTGCTGCATTCAACAGACTGTTATGACTGTGTGTTTCCTCATCACATAAGTCTGCAATGCCACATGGAAAACCAAATTCCGGTATAGTTTTCTGATGAATGGAAGAAGTGGAATGTGCCTGTACTGAGAATTTGTTTGCATTCTGTGCATATCTTACCATTACTAGAGATGTGGAATCGGTTACCTGGATTTCAGTCAATAAGTGCCTTTAATGTCACTTGGAGCACCACCTACAGTTTCAAATGTACATAATATATTATGTCCGTATGGTCATACCTGACGTCTACATGCTTCAAATAGTGTCTCTCGGGGCTTCCCGCACTGGCCCCAGGAAGAAATTTTTGTTGACTGTGAATTTCCTCATATACCATCTTTCATACCTGTACTTGTACAGACTGCAATTTTATGTCAAAATAAATTCCGTGGATACTGAGGACTGCTGATTTATCGATGTTTGATTACATTTCAGTGGATCTATAATTGGTGTACCATGAAACAAGCATATATTGGTAGTATATTATTATTAGTATACAAACCTTGGAAGGCGTACCAGATATTCCAAGTTTTACATTCTGTATGTGCAGTGCCTTCAGTTAGATTATATTGAGATCAGTTTGTGCTTTGCCACACATTCACATCAGTTTGTATGGTGGAATAAATGCAAACACAACACAAGCACCTGTACAGTGTATTAGTCTATGATGTTGAAGTTTGGGTATGGCAATTTTTCCATAGTTACATTGGTCTAGCTTGGACTAATGTAAATAGGTATGTGCCATACCTGTGGGATACCCTAGAAGCTGGAAACCACTGTATTAGGCACCACTACTAAAGCCATCTCCACTAGTTTATGGTGCCGAGCAGCTGCTTTGCTGTGTTGTGAACTCTGGAAGTGGTTCGTCCTGCATGCGCACCATTCAGGGAACATTTTGCAATTTCTTAAAAGTGTTACTAAACCCACAACAGCAAAATCAGTCTGTATATGCAGTAACTGTTATACTCGCTGTGGAGCCCAATGGGTTAATCTTCTGCATTGTGTAAAAAGGCCCTTTGATTCTTCTCTGTTCCTCCCCTTTTTCAAGCGACCACCTCTTATCTCCTGATAAGACAGACTGAACTGTGCACATGCTCAGTTTAGTGTGTATTGCTAGAGAGGTTTTTTTTTTTTTTCTTCTTGGGAGAGTGCATGTGATCAGCACAGGGCCATTCGGCGCTGTCCAGACAGAGGGTCAAGGGCTTCACATCCTCCTAGAGCAGACAGAAAACTCCTCCTACAAGCTTTAACCAGTGCTCTGCTGAAGTCACAAAACTGCTCTAACTGCTGATGGGAAAAGGTATTTAGCAGTTTATAAAAAAAACATAGGAGTGCGGCTCTTAAAATAACTATAGCAAATAAGTAGATGGAATAGAAGTCCAATTCATATATGATAAAGACGAAATAAGCCCCTCTTCATTGGGACATCAATAATGTCATAAATACTTCAGTCTGGTCAAGGAGATAAAGGGGATCCACCGTCACCAAAACCCAAAAATTTCTGCCTCTTACCAGACCACAATGACCCCCAAATATGGACGGGTCAAAATGCGCAGTGCGAGTTCCAAAAGTAGGGTGTGGACCTGGACACTTTATGGAACAAAACTGGACCCCAGTTGTGGAAGGATACACACCCGTAAAGCTGATTCCAAAGACAAGCCGTGGTCAGGACACTGATATAACTCCAAACTTCATTAGTAGCTGCCTTTTCTATTGCAGCTCTGACCAAGGTGCCTCGCTTTGACTGCAGCACAGAAAAGGATCAGACCTGTCTATACTTTCTATATTAGAAAACTAGCTAACAGGCAGTTTGTTGGCTGCAGTTAAGACCATTTATGTATTTCAACTCAATTTAGTTTTTTGATTATCTGTTATTTTATTTTTGCCTACACCTCTCATTTCTAATGTAGCAGATATTTGTCTGGTCAGCTTTAAAGAAGTATTAAACTCAAAAGTAAACATTTCTATCCCAAAAATAAAAAAAAATGTTTGCTATAACTGATAATAAAGTGTGATCTGGAGTTTTAATTAGTGCATTTAAATCTGCTAATACATTTAACACTACCTTTCCCCTAGAATGACAATGCTGCTGGTGGCTCTGCCGCCTGTGCCACCTGTGCTCTTTCAGCCAGAGTACTGTCTCACAAATATGGGAGGTGTGACTGGCCATATCACCAGGTGGAAGCAGAGGGGAAAAGTCAAAGGATATAAAACTGATGCAGCCACTCCATCTATTGATTGATAAGCTGCAATATATTACATTTTTTGATTTTTTGGTTTTGGGTTTAATACTGCTTTAAGAATCCTGCTTGTAGTGCTGTATTTGGCCATGGGGTGTCACAAGGATGCTCCCAAACTGGTGTAGAAAATATCTGTGTAGGATGAGCTCAGCTTATCTCAGTAGGTGCTGCATACCACAGATATGTGCCCCATGGCTCTCTCTGCAAAGGATATATATGATTCAATGCATATATACATAATGTTTAGTGATTGCATTCCTTTCCTATACCTGCTTTGATCTCCATTGCTGCTTTTTCACTTGAATGCCATACCGTCAAGGCCATCCTTGTTTTATGCATTTTCCTAACATCTCTTTTTTTTTTTTTTTTTTTTTTTTTTTTTTAAATGCAAGAAGCAGAGACCTCATGTTTGGAACTTCTGGTCCTGGTGTTGATGTATTGGCCATGTACCTGTTTGTGTGTCATCAGGCCAGTGTGCAAGTTAGAACGTGATCAGTATTCACTTGTTTCCCATGGCACTGGTAGCGGCATTTAGCACAGAACAAAAATATACAGTATCTCACCTCTCACATTTTTGTAAATATTTTATTCTATCTTCATGTAACAACACTGAAGAAATGACACTTTGTTACAATGTAAAGTAGTGAGTGTACAGCTTGTATAACAGTGTAAATCTGCTGTCCCCTCAAAATAACTCAACATACAGCCATTAATGTCTAAACCGCTGGCAACAAAAGTGAGTACACCCCTAAATGAAAATGTCCAAATTGGGCCCAAAGTGTCAGTATTTTGTGTGGCCACCATTATTTTCCAGCACTGCCTTAACCCTCATGGGCACGGAGTTCACCAGAGCTTCACTGGTTGCCACTGGAGTCCTCTTCCACTCTCCATGACAAAGCTGGTGGATGTTAGAGACCTTGCACTCCTCCACCTTCCATTTGAGGATGCCCCACAGATGCTCAATAGGGTTTAGGTCTGGATACATGCTTGGCCAGTCCATCACCTTTACCCTCAGCTTCTTTAGCAAGGCAATGGTTGTCTTGGAGGTGTGTTTGGGGTTGTTATCATGTTGGAATACTGCCCTGCGGCCTAGTCTCTGAAGGGAGGGGATCATGCTCTCCTTCAGTATGTCACGGTACATGTCGGCATTCATGGTTCCCTCAATGAACTGTAGCTCCCCAGTGCCAGCAGCACTCATGCAGCCCCAGACCATGACACTCCCACCACCATGCTTGACTGTAGGCAAGACACACTTGTCTTTGTACTCCTCACCTGGTTGCCGCCACACACGCTTGACACCATCTGAACCAAATAAGTTTATCTTGGTCTAATCAGACAACAGCACATGGTTTCAGTAATCCATGTCCTTAATGTTGAGTTATGAGGGGACAGCAAATGTATACTGTTATACAAGATATACACTCACTACTTTAAATTGCAGAAAAGTGTAATTTCTTCAGTGTTGTCACATGAAAAGATATAAAATATTTACAAAAATGGGAGGGGTGTACTCACTTCTGTGAGATACTGTGTATGTATATATACACGCACATACGGAACAAACAGCAGTATTTGCACAGGGATGTGGAATGTAGCTGGTATGACTGAGAAGGGGCTAAATGTCCCCTTTGCACTGCATTACATTTTATGGACAATGGCTGGTAGTGCCTTGCCCAATGGTGGTATACTCTGTAGAAACCTTCAAGACTTTCTGGCAGAGTAAACAGATTAAAAAAAAATTACAGGGAGATTCAAGAAAAACAAAGACTGCTTTGTAACTGCTAGTAGCAGACTGCCATTTTTGATTTTGCCTTTAGTACCACAAGCTGTTTTTATCACCTTCTCCATGCTCTACTACTCTAACCCTAAGGAAAACTTAGTAGTTCCAGGTATGGGAGTGTTTACAGAGCAAGCAATTGCAGACCTGATCACAGTTACATGGGGCAGAGAGAACACTGTACGTTTTGATTTTCAGAGAGTTTAAACTTTCACAGGAATTTCATGGCACTTTGGTGGTGGATTGAGATGGAAGGGAAGCATGGGGAGACAAGAAGAGGCTGCTTATGGTGCCTCGTATAATGTCAACCTGTTAAGGGGCCTAGTACGAGCAAAGCATAGGTTAACTTTTAATGTAACAGTGAGATGTGAACTTACTATTATTCACCTTGCTATACTGTCCATTGGCGGATAGGTGCATCACAAGTCTGGCTGGACAGAATCTTTTTGTAGGTTAGTTTACATAAATATATATATATTTAACTGCCTACCTAGAGTTCGCATTTGAAGGTTTCAAAAAGCAGTGGCAGGTATGACAGTTTTATTATATATTACTATGCTTTCCAGGATAAATGAAATCCTTTATTCCAACAAAAAAGCTTTTTGTTATGATCATTTCTAGACAACTGCAACAAAATGCAAAACCTGACATTTTACTGTTCCCAAACTCACATCATTTATTAAATGCCATACAAGGGCTGCAGACAAAATACACCAGGAAGATATAACACCAAATATAAAATCTCTCCTCACAAAGCATGCTGGTGATTAATCCCTTCGGAGCTGGGAAAATCTAGAGATCTTTGCAGCTCTAAAAGGGGTTAACTCCTGACTGGTACAAGCCGTAAGGCACATCAGGGCTTGGTCTACCATCATCAGCTGGAATGATGGTGCTGTCCTGCCCTACTGTGACATCTCCACAGCTTCCAGTACACAGGAGTCTCCTCACACTTTTATTTGTCTGCATAATTGGTCTTGAGAGAGACATACACACAAGTGGACACCTTGCTCACACAATTACAAAAGAGAATGTATGCACATAATACAAAAAAGGGGAAGGTGTGCCCCTCTCCTGGAGAGGAGTTGGTAAAGGGCAAGGATCACACAAAACAGAATCCAACCTTAAAATGTTTAACCAAACACTGAACCCCTGTCATGCAAAGGGGAGGCCAACATGGTCTGTCCCAGCGCGCTGTCCCAAGTTGTTGTTTATTCAGAGGGGGAGGGCTGTGGGGGTTACATCAAAGAAGTGAGAGTTGGCTACGCTTGGCACTTTGGCCCAACACTGGTGTCTAGTTGGATATGGAAGAGACAGATCCTGCTTCAAACCTAAAAGGCATCTGGTGGGCAAGGGGACAGAATATAAAGGCAGCGCAGGAAATCTAACCCTATACTGATCCCTATAAAGCACCAAGCTGGATCCATCGCTGGAGGTCTGTCTTTCTGAAGGGAAGAATAAAGGGGCATCGTTTTGCATCCGATTCCAAGACGGAGGTCTGGCTTTGTTTCTACCCCTTCCTCCCCCTCCCGCACCAAATAGTCTCTCCCTGGGCATGTGCGCTGGGTTATACACAGGGTAGTCATGCAGAGGGGCTCTCCTCTCAGGAAGCGTATTTTCGCTGTCAGTCCCCCACCATCAGGTGCGGCTTGCACGGTTTTCCGCATATTTCCTGCTATGTCCTGAACATGCAAACTGTGGCTGCTGTCACACCTTCTATCCAAAAATCCCACCGAACGTTGAAGCGATGACAATACCAAGCACCACACAGCAGATTATGATCATGATCTTCTTCTGCAGAAGGAAAGAGAAAAATGATCAGCAAATTTTCCTAAAACAGAACTATTCCTAATTTCAATTTTTGTATTGATATATAATATAAATTGCAATTATTTTCTATAGACAGTGAGCATGTTGTTTTTCTAGAAATTAAAAAGCCAATGATGAATGATTGATAGATTAGGAGATGCAGACTGTTATAGGGCACATATTCTGGTGGTATGCTCCCAGACAACTGTGTTGGCAGATCACATAATAAAAGACTGTTCAGGCAGGGGATCAGCCAGCTCCATGTCCACTGTTTCCCTGTTGTTGGAGGGGGTATACATTTCATTTATTTGGACACAATGTAATACTCAAAATAACAAAGCAAATTGTTATTTTCAGGACTCTGTTTACAGAGCATTTTGACACCACAGGAAGGTAATACATGCTACTAGGCACGTGCACTAGTTAAAATGAATTAATTGAATGAATTATTGCAATACATTAATTAGAGCATTTGTAGCCATATTCAGCACTGTGGTCTTAGTGTCATCTGACACGTGGTGTGGCTGAATGTGGGGCCTTAATTACTAATTTGCCAGTGAACACTGTTCTGTTTGATATGCACCAATGGAAGTAAATGCATACAGGGCTATAAAAACTAGTGTGAAAGGCTTTGCAGTTACCAGGAGTTCATCTCAGGGAGCATCGGATAGTAGAAAACATTGCTCTTGAACGGGCCATGCAAAAAAAGTTATTATTAAATCATATGGCAAATTGTGCAATAATTACTCATGTGTATATCATAAATAAATACAATTGGACAATACCAGCTATATCATAAAAGATTGGATGGGCTGGAATGGTTTGTTCAATTATTTTATACTTCTAGAGCATAGATAATTTGGCACTGTGTGGCACTGCCCGATATCCAGCATGAGGAGATCCCTGAGCACTGATCTGGTGAATAGAAGATTCACCCCAGATAAGATGATTACCATGCAAGTGACCACATTTATGTTAGTATAGCTGCAGAGCTTGGGTAAGTGAGGCTTGTGAAGACAGTGAGGTCTGAGGAACCCCAAACTATGTGGAGACAAGGGGGAGGGGTGTTGAACACCGTGCCAACATAATTTTCTTAAGAATTTGCACGTCGGTATAAAAAATGGTCAGATTTAAATCTTATATCTGTGCTAGGCATTCAAGAGGGTGACACATTGGACACAATCACAGAACAGTTCCAACTGGTCTGAAATGTAGGACATTCTAAAACTTCATTAGCTGGATATGCAAACTTCCGGTGAGCCCCTGTCACAAAATAAACTTGTTTGTAGCTCAAAAAACCACATTTGTGAGCCTGGGGGTTTTTTTTTTTAGCCTAAAAAGTGAACTTTCATATAATTCGAACTCTCAACACTAATGCATATTCCAGAACTCCCACTGTAATAGAGGTAGCTTTATTAAAAGCAGTTTGAGAAGTTACCCATCAATTAGCCACCAAACATGGCTATTTTACCAGGTCCAGAAGGCTAACAAGATGTATTTGATCTCCTAAGAGAAACATACATCAAGTCTACATCATTTTTTGTATCTAACAAATTTTAATTTCAATCTGCAAAATATTTGGCTGGCTATCAGATTGTGAAATCTTTTCAATGGAAATATAAATTGACCCAGAATAATTGTCAATAAGGGTGTGTCTGCTGAGGATAAAATACAATTCAGCACACCCCACAGACTCTTTAATTTGGTAGCATCAGCCCCGTGACATCTTGATGGGAAATGCTGTACTTAGCTGCTGGAGCTCTTGTTTACTTTAGAATATATCCAGGAGTGTCCAGCAAAGTCCCTCCTTACATCCAGGAGTGCTCAGCAGAATCCACCTTTACATCCAGGAGAGTAAGCAGTGTCGCCCCTTACATTCAGGAGTGCCCAGCAAAGTCCCACCTTACATCCACGTGTGCCCAGATGAGTCTAAGCAGGGTGGAATCTGAGAGGTGGAGCAGGTCTAGATGGAGGAAGTCAGCTCCTCCTTTAAATGCCTAGGGCTTATAATGGGATCCTGGAGGAGGGTCACAGCTGGCTGGCTGACAGTATATGTACCAGTTTAATATTTACAATACACAGACCAGCACATCTAGTGCTAGCCAGCCAGGTTGTTATGAGCCAGATAAAATCTTGTAGCAGGCCAGTTTTGGTCCGAAAGACATTGTTTGGAGGTCCTTGCTCTAACTACACTGCTCAAAGAAAATTAAAGAATCACTTTTTAATCAGAGTATAGCATCAAGTCAATTAAACTCCTGGGATATTGATCTGGTCAGTTAAGTAGCAGAGGGGGTTGTTAATCAGTTTTAGCTGCTTTAGTGTTAATGAAATTAACAACAGGTGCACTAGATGACACCCAAAACAGGAATGGTTTTACAGGTGGTTGCCACTGCAATTGTTTTCGCTACTCATTTTTTCTGACTGTTTTTAACTAGTTTTGCATTTAGCTAGGGTCTGTGTCTACTGATAGCATGAGGCGATACCTGGACCCTACAGAGGTTGCACAGGCAGTCCAACTCCTCCATGATGGCACATAAATCCGTGCGATTGCCAGAAGGTTTGCCGTGTCTCCCAGCACAGTCTCAAGAGCATGTTGGAGATTCCAGGAGACAGGAACTTACTCTAGGAGACCTGGGCAGGGTCGTAGAAGGTCCTTAACCCATTGGGAGGACCTCCTTTGTGTAAGGAGGAACAGGATGAGCACTGCCAGAGCCCTATAAAATGAGCTCCAGAAGGCCACTGGTGTGAATGTCTCTGACCAAACAATCACAAACAGACTTCATGAGGGTGAGAGCTCGACTTCCTCTAGAAAGCTCTGTAATCACTGCCCGGCACCATAGAGCTCGATTGGCATTTGCCATTGAACATCAGAATTAGCAGGTTGGCCACTGGTACCCTGTGCTTTTCACATATGAGAGCAGATTCACTCTAAGCACGTGACAGACGTGAAAGGGTCTGGAGAAGCTGTGGAGAACGTTATGGTGTCTGTAACATCGTTCAGCATGACCGTTTTGGTGGTGGGTCAGTGATGATCTGGGGAGGCATATCCATGGAGGGACGCACAGCCTCTACAGGCTAGACAATGGAACCCTGACTGCCATTAGGTACTGGGATGAAATCCTTGGACCCATTGTCAGAACCTACACTGGTGCAGTGGGTCCTGGGTTCCTCCAGGTGCATGACAATGCCTGGCCTAATGTGGCAAGATATGCAGGCAGTTCCTGGAGGATGAAGGAATTGATACCATTCAATGGCCCCCACGCTCACCTGACCTAAATCCAATAGAATACCTCTAGGATATTATGTTTCGGTCCATCCACGCCACCAGGTTGCACCTCAGACTGTCCAAGAGCTCAGTGATGCCCTGATCCAGATCTGGGAGGAAACACCCCAGGACACCATCTGTTGTCTTATTTGGAGCATGCCTTGGCGTTGTTAGGCATGCATACAAGCAGGTGGGGGCCATACAAACTGAGTTGCTGTAATGAAATTTCAGAAAAATGGACTAGCCTGCTGCATCATTTTTTCACTTTGATTTTCGGGGTGTCTTTGAATTCAGTCCTCTGTAGGTTGATAATTTTCATTTCCAACAAACGATGGGGAATCCTTACATTCCTAACACATTACCTAGTCCATATCAGTATAGATATCCAGCATGATATTTTTCCCCATTGGGATCTGATGTATTTTCAAAGTGTAGTATAAACATTGTTTTTTTGGAGGAGCTAACTGTAACATTCCTGTTTGGTTGGGGCAGCAAGTGATACAAACATTTTGTAAAGGTAAGAATTACAACTGCGAATGCAGTAAATGGTGGATGTTCTGCTATGATGTGTTAGGCAGACTATTCAAAATGGATGGGCTGTAACGCAACTCAATGTACGTTAAAAATAGGATTTTTGTACTCACCATAAAATTCTTTACTTGAGAGTCCATTGAGGGACACCCCTCCTACCTCACACATGCTTAACTGTAGCAAGCAGTCCAAAATGAAAACAATAGCATATTCTATTTTTACCTATTTTCTCATTAAACAGCACCTTGTAGAACCCTTTAGCTAAAATTAGCGTTTGCCAAGGCACACACATTGACCTTATAGGACTTAGAAAACAGAAGACATAGTTGCAGCCCTACAGATCTGAGATACAGAGGCTTAATGACAAAAAGTTCAAGAAGCACTCATTACCCAAGTGGAGTAGGCTTTTAAAGGAAAAGAGGGTACTTTATCTTACAGCTAAAATGCCTGCACAATAACCTGTTGAATCCACTTAAAAAAGGTTCTCCTGCTTTTAGATCCACTATTTCTAAGACATTCTAGAATAACAAACAATGAATTTGTCTAAAATAGGCAGTGATGAAAAGGTAAACTCTGATGGCCCTCACCACATCTAGGCAATGGAGAGAGATCTCCTTGTGGTGAATTGGTGCTAGAAACAAAGAGTGTAGCACAATATTCCTATTAGGATGCAAAACAAAGACCATTTGGGTAAAAAGAAGGTCTCTGGTATCAAAACAGCCCTTATGGGTCCCTGGTCTCAAATGGGTCTCCTTACTGGACAATGCTGATAACTCTGTAGCCCTTGTGAATGAAGTGAAGGCCACAATAAAGGCTTCCTTGGGGGGTAGTATCATTCAGGAAATGTCACAAACAGGTTCAAAAGGAGATCTTTGTAGCATTGACAATACTAGATTTAAATACCACAGTTGGAGTGGAAGCCCAGCAGGGGGAGCAATGTGTCTAAAACTACAAAATCAGTGAATGCAAGATAAGCAAGATAAGGTTGGAAAATAACAGACAATGCAGTCACCTGACCATTTATGGTGCTAAGGGACAAATGATGTTCTACTCCCAGATGGAGGAAAGAAATGACACAGCCACTGAAAAGGCATGTGGGAAAACATCCAGAGATTCACACCAGTGAAAATAAATATTACAGCAAGAAGACTTATGAGCTCTGAATGAGGTATGCCCTGGTCTCTTGAAACAGTCAGGCGATCAAAGCTAGTGACTAAGAAGCAGGGTGGAAGATCAGTCCTTAAGCGAATAGATCTTGCTGGTATGGTAAAGGCCATGGATTGCCAGCAGGCGGATAAACGAGGTTGGCGTACCACATTCTCTAAGGCCAATCTAGAGTTTTGAGAATGACTGAAATGCCCTCTGCTTCAATCCTTCAAAGTAGACCAGGGCACCTTCTGCCATCTGCTGTTGACAAATCTGTTCAGTTTCATGTTGACCGGAGAAGCTAGCAGATCCATATACATAATTTTCCAATGCAGACATATGTTCGGCAGTATCACCTGATGGAGACACTATCTGCTAAGATATCCACCCATCAGTTTTTCACTCTGGGAATGTGCACTGCAAAGATCGCCAAAATATGAAACTCTATCTTGGACAGAATACACTCTACCTCTGTCGATCCCACAACACTTCTGGTGTCCCTGATTACTGATGTATGCCACAGCAGTGGCAATGTCTGATTTAATCCTGACTGGATGACTGGCCAAAAGGAAGGTCCATTAAAAAAACAACAGATATCCCTGAACAAAGATATGGTCCTGAAAGTTGCCCAAATCCCACAAAAATGAAAGCTGTTGTGACAATCTTCTGGAGTGAAATTGAGCATATGGGACTGCTTTGGAGGTGGAAACCATAAACCCCTGAATCCGCATGCAACTCTGCAGGTAAGGCTTGTGATTAAAGTTGCCATGATTCTGCAGTTTCATAAACTTCTCCTGGGCAGAAAGACCTTGGTCTGAAAGTTATCCAGAAGGCCCAAGCAGTTCAAGTGATGTGACGGAATCAGAAATGACTGCTCAAAGTTCATGCTCGATCCTCCCAGGCAATAATTGACCAAATAAATTTAATTCATTGAGGATGTACAATGGTATTTTACAATTGGCTTTAAATCCAAAGTGAGACGAATGCCTCATTTGGCTTTTGGAATCGTAAACGTTTGAAAAAAACCTTGAAATCTTTTGGCTGGAGGAATGAGAACAATAACCACTCAGGTGAACAACCACTCATCAATCCCTGAATGGCTGGATATAAATCTGAAGCTGAAGAAGCAATGTGAAAAATTGAGGTGGGGAATAGAGGCAAAACTATTTTGTAAACCTTGGATAATACCAGAACTCAAGGAGGGGGAATAAGACCTGAAGTAATAACTACAGGAAAAAAGGAAGGGGGGGGAATCAGAAATGGCAGCTGATGCAGGCTGTTCCTCCAGGAATTTTTAAGATGTGCTGAAGGCACAATATTTTCGTGTGCCAAATTCAACTTTGCAAATTAGGTCCTGATTTGAGGATTCGCCCACAGCTGCAGGGCAATGCCTTTTTGTTTTGTGCTAGTCATGTTGATTATGGCCAAAAATCTCCCTAGAACAGTCACGAATCTGAGTGGTGTACCAGGGGATAATTCAGCAGCAATGGCTCTGTGACCACTTATCACTATTGGCAGAATCTAGGAAGAGTAGAGGTGTGTCCATGTGCCAAAAACCTGTGCAAGGTGCGTAGAAGGCTGTTGTTAGAAACGTGAACTGCCTCAGTGAGTCTTTACAGCATTGCAAATTGTGGGAAGGATGCAGCCACTGTGTGCGTGCACTACACAAAGGCGGGAAGTTTAAAAGGCAGTTCGGACATAACAGTACCCAATCGCCAGAGTCAAAAAACAAGTACACTGCCCAGATCAAATAAAATGGAGGGTAGTCCCATGAAGCAATGCCCAGCTTGCTCATCTGTAATATCTGTATATAATATATCTGTAATATATTAAAAGAGATGTACACAGCAGAAAAGAAAAATCTCCATTCCCCTTCTCAGTGCCCCGGAAAAATGTTGCTGCTGCATCCAACCACACATAAGGTATCCACAAGGTACATTAAAGGAAAGAATCGTTAACACAGCATAGCCCCCTATACTCCAAAAACTAGTCTCCAGAAACGGTGACAGGCAGTTGAAAAACTGCCATAGTTTGGGTCCTGATAATTATGTAAGGAATCCCCAGTTGGACTGGTCTGATATGAAGCAGAAACCTGTCAAACTAGACTAGATGGGTTGTCACTATCGACAGAGGACCACTGAAGAGAGAATACTTAATGAACTGGGGAAACCTGAGTTTGTTGGGCTATCAGGAGAGACTCCTACGGATTTCCAGTGTGTGGTCTACATCTACCAGAAGCAGAAAAGAATTTACAGTTCATGTCAAAAAGATTACGTTTTCTATGTGCATAGCCTCCTGTAGGTTGCTGTATAACCCTAGATTGCTTAATTATCCTCAAGCTGTGTCCCTCAGCAGACGATAGAAAAAATGAAACAGGCTGCATTCGTACACAGTGCAGCATGCCACACAGGACACTATGTGGACAACTACAAAACAAACATATCAAAGTGAGCACAATGGCTGTAGACAGGAGGTACCATATACTGTACTGCAGCACCATAAAATTCAACTAGTGTCCACACATTCAGGCAACGTTTTGGTCAAATATTTCAAGACACTAAAGGGTGTTGTTATTAAGATGCAAATGAAGCAACTGGACATGGTATGATCTCAGTTTAGTGGCAGCTGGATACAACTGTGCCTGACTACTGTACTGCGATGACACAATTGTTGGTATTGATGAATTCCTAGTATTCTGCATTGCTAAACTAGCAGGGCCTTCATAAAATCTCTGTTAATCCCTTGTTTGTGTGGGTGTTCTCCAGTTTTCTCTGTCATTCCAAAAACATTGAAAAAAAACAAAACGATTAGTAGCTGTGTAGATCTTTTTCATGTTTTTCTTGCTTCTTGCTGGTGTCTTCAAAAACATGAGGGAAGGGGGGATGAGGGGATAACTGAAATCTTTAAATACACTCTAGACTGTGAATTAGGTTATGGAGGGCAGTATTTTTTGTATGAGGCAAAGATTAAGAACACATGGACACGACCTCAAACTTGCAAGAGGAAAGCTCACAGATGACCTTAGAGAGTATTTTTTACTGAAAGACTTCCAGCAGAGGTAGCGAGTCCGTCAACAGTAAGTGAAGGTTCACATCATAGAAATGCAGTTAAATGCACTTCTGCATGTGCGTTTGTGATGCATTCTGCTGCATTTTCACCTTTTTTTTACTTCACCTTAAATAAGGACATGTGTGTTCTGGTGTGCTTTTACCGCATTCCAATACAGTTCAATGCAGAGAAATTGCAGCATGTTCTACTCTTTTTCCATGGAACTTGAAAACACTGGAACTGACTGCACTGGTGTGAACTATGCCATTGAAAACCATATAACCTACTATTCATGCATCTCTGATGTAGAAAAAAAATGCACTGGACTGCATGTGGTATGAACTGGCCCTTAAAGGTGACTAAAAACTCCTCCCTTTCAGTAGGGCTGCACCTGCACTGGGGTCAACTACTAAAGAATGCTAAGGGGACTGTGAAAAGAGACATACATATATATATATATATACACACACACTCTACTCTCTCTCTCATCTCTCAAAAGTTTGCATACTGAAATCATGAAATTTTGGCATTGATATTGAAAAATATGATTGCTCAAGCCAAAAAATTGTCTTTTATTTAAAAATAGTGATTGTATGAAGCTATTTATTATCACATAGTTGTTTGGCTCCTTTTTAAATAATAACAGAAATCACCCAAATGGCCCGGATCAAAAGTTTACATACCCTGGAATGTTTGGCCTTGGTACAGACACACAAGGTGACACACACAGGTTAAAAATGACAATTAAAGGTTAATCTTCCACATCTGTGACCTTTTAAATTGCAATTAGTGTCTATGTATAAATAGTCTATGAGTATGTTAGCTCCTACATGGATGCACTGAGCAGGCTAGATACTGAGTCATGGAGAATAGAAAAGAACTGTCAAAAGACCTGTGTAACAAGGTAATGCTTTAAGTCTGAGCTTGTCAGCACTTGGGCATGCCCTACTCCTGCCCATTACTTTCTAGATTGACCGTATTGTCTCTATTACTATATCCCTGTCAGCTGCAGTGTCTGGGATGTGGAGCATGTGAGACACAAATGAAAGATTTGGCTCTGTCAGCGAAGGTGAAGGATGGAGGTTTATGTATCACATGGTAACAGGATTTGATACTTGTTAGACTGTCGTACAAGGAGCCTTTAGTTGGACTTTAGGATACTGAGCTCCATTTGAGCGGGGACTGAAGTGAATGGTGGAAATGTACTCTATACAGTACACTGTAATATGTATAATGTAATGGAAGGTAATAACTGATTTTTGCACATCATTTTTGAACAGGTTCATATATGTGTAGTACTGGCTACTCACCCTCCGGGCTTTACTCTGGTACTTGACAGCCTTTTTGGTGTCGGAGACAGCTCTTTCCACATAATCCACAGCATGTTCCACATTATACTCTATGCGATCAATCATCTCTCCCTGATGGTGTGCAGAAATAGGAGGGGGGAGGGGAAAAACAGAAGAGGCCGAAAAGAAGGAGCCAGAGATATTCGGAAGACATCAAGAGAAAGTAACACAGAGAAGAGAAGTTGGAGAAATACAAAAAGCGACATACGAGATAAAAGACACATGCAAGTGAACACAAGCGCATACATGGCGCACAGTAAACATGCAGCATTGGTAAGTGCATAAATGTATTGTGGAATGGATAGAAGAAATGGTTTACAAAGAGAGTGGAAGAAAAGAGTAGAAAGAACCAAGAATACCAAGTGAAGTAGAAATTGGACAGCGGAGCGACAAGAGATGAATGAGACAGAAGAGATGGAAGATAGGATAAGAAGTTACAAAGCAGACGAGTTCAGAGTGATTCATAGACAGGAGTAGAACAGCGCAGTATAGAGACAGGAAGAACAAGTGAGGGATAACAGAAGAGGGCCAGAAAAAGAAAGATACTTAATATCATTGTTGTTTAATTGCAATCCTTAGCATGTTACCTGGTCTTCTGTGGGTGACTTTCAGCCCCACTTGCTGTTCCGATCAGCTTTAACCTGCAAAAGAACAAACAAATTGGGGAGTTCTATGAATCATTTCAACAGTATGCACCAGAAGACAGGATGACCACTAGACAAGTCAGCTAGAGAACTGAACACAGCCGCAACTCAGCTAGAGAAGAGAAGAAGAGAACACAGTCCGCAACTCAGCTAGAGAAGAGAACACAACCGCAACTCAGCTAGAGAAGAGAACACAGCCGCAACTCAGCTAGAGAAGAGAACACACTCAGCCGCAACTCAGCTAGAGAAGAGAACACAACCGCAACTCAGCTAGAGAAGAGAAACACAACCGCAACTCAGCTAGAGAAGAAGAAAGCCACACAACCGCAACTCAGCTAGAGAAGAGAAACAGCACAACCGCAACTCAGCTAGAGAAGAGAACACAGCCGCAACTCAGCTAGAGAAGAGAACACAGCCGCAACTCAGCTAGAGAAGAGAACACACAGCCGCAACTCAGCTAGAGAAGAGAACACAGCCGCAACTCAGCTAGAGAAGAGAACACAGCCGCAACTCAGCTAGAGAAGAGAACACAGCCGCAACTCAGCTAGAGAAGAGAACACAGCCGCAACTCAGCTAGAGAAGAGAACACAGCCGCAACTCAGCTAGAGAAGAGAACACAGCCGCAACTCAGCTAGAGAAGAGAACACAGCCGCAACTCAGCTAGAGAAGAGAACACAGCCGCAACTCAGCTAGAGAAGAGAACACAGCCGCAACTCAGCTAGAGAAGAGAACACAACCGCAACTCAGCGCAACTCAGCTAGAGAAGAGAACACAGCCACAACTCAGCTAGAGAAGAGAACACAGCCACAACTCAGCTAGAGAAGAGAAGCCACAGCTAGACCAGCCGCAACTCAGCTAGAGAAGAGAACACAGCCACAACTCAGCTAGAGAAGAGAACACAGCCGCAAACTCAGCTAGAGAAGAGAACACAGCCACAACTCAGCTAGAGAAGAGAACACAGCCGCAACTCAGCTAGAGAAGAGAACACAGCCGCAACTCAGCTAGAGAAGAGAACACAGCAGCTAGCAACTCAGCTAGAGAAGAGAACAACACAGCCACAACTCAGCTAGAGAAGAGAACACAGCCACAACTCAGCTAGAGAGAGAACACAACCGCAACTCAGCTAGAGAAGAGAACACAGCCACAACTCAGCTAGAGAAGAGAACACAGCCACAACTCAGCTAGAGAAGAGAACACAGCCACACTCAGCTAGAGAAGAGAACACAGCCACACTCAGCTAGAGAAGAGAACACAGCCACACTCAGCTAGAAAAGAAACACAGCCGCACACTCAGCTAGAGAAAAACACAGCTGCAACTCAGCTAGAGAAAACACAGCTGCAACTCAGCTAGAGAAGAGAACACAGCCACAACTCAGCTAGAGAAGAGAACACAGCCGCAACTCAGCTAGAGAAGAGAAACACAGCCGCAACTCAGCAGGAACACATAGCTATCTCATGAAGATTATGGTTGCTTCTGCAGGTGCTGAATAGCACTACAAGGGTAGTCTTGAAGACTTTATAGAGGAGACTTGGGCAAACAGCGCTTTCTTGCTACTCAGAGATTATACAACTTGTTGACAACCATCTTATTAGCAGCACAGTGATTTCAAGGTTTTGAAAATGAATGGACTCCCAATAACAGGCTCAGTTCTCACAAGAAAGATTAAAATAATCCATGCAGTTTAGACTTAAAATGACCACACAGATTAAAATCTAATTATATTGCGGGGTGTGCCTAAAAAATCCATTCAGTTTGCATCCAGTCAGTGAGGCCCTTAAACTACGTAATTGTTGACCTAAATAAGACTGGATAATCAGGGTGTAGCATATTAGTCAGCTTTATTCTATCTAGATTATCGGAATTTGACTGTTACCTTTAAAACCTTATCATGAGATCAATACTATCAATTTTATTTTTGGCTTTGCTTGCACTATTATTGAATAAGCACATAAGAGACTTTAACTGGTATCATGGCATTTAGAATACTGAAAAGGACTTATCAGAAAAGAATCCAGAAAGCCTGACATGCTAATGCAGGGTTGCTCAACCTGGGTTCCTTCAGAGGTTGCTAGGGGTTCCTTGAGCAATTTCTGCCTCTTGGATAAGTTCCCACTGACACATTGATCTTTTTAGCCATCTATAAGAGGGTAATTCTTCCCAATGACCACAAGTGTAAGGAACGTTCTTCCCACCGACCATCACACTAATGTATCATTAGTTGTAGATATAGTAATTGTTTGCAGGGGTTCCCTGAGACCAGAGAGGTATTTCAAGGGTTCCTCTCTGTTGAAAATGTTGAGAAAGGCTGTCTAATGTATGTGGTGCTGCAAAGCAATTAATCAAATTTAATCTGCACTTGAAAAAAAAATTATTCTTATTTGAGCTAGCAGTGGTTATTCAAATATAAAAACTTTTTATGAAATGCGAAAATGTTTCACCACTCAACCAAGCAGTTTCTTTAGTTTTAAATAAGTGTTGGGAACATACTCCAGCACGGGTACCTCAGTAAAGAAATCTTACAGAAGAAACTATCATCTGTAATTCAGTTCCATTCTTTTGCCTCCAGCTGACCCAGAGCAGCTGGCTTCATGGCAAAGGTAAGCAAATATACATATTTATAGGTATATATATAGGTCCATATATATGTTGGGACACAGGCACAATTTTAGGTTTTTCAGATATTTACCAAAACATATTCAAGCTATAGTTATGTAATGGATATGGACTGAAAGTGCACACTCTCAGGTTTAATTTGAGGGTAATGTACATCCAAATTGGAGGAAGGGTTTAGGAATTACAGCTCTTAAGAGCAGCCACCCCCCCTTTTTCAAGGACCAAAAGTAATTGGACAATTGAATCAAAAGCTGTTTCATGGCCAGGTGTGGGCTACTCCTTCGTTATTTCTTTGTCAATTTAGCAGGTAAAAGGTCTGGAGTTGATTCTAAGTTTGGTATTTGCATTTGGAATCTATTGCTGTGAACCTACATCATATGTTCAAAGGAGCCGTCCATGCAAGTGAAACAGGCCATTGTAAGGCTTCAAAAACGAAACAAATCCATCAGAGAGATAGCAGCAACATTAGGAGTGGCCAAATAATCAGTTTGGTACATTCGGAGGAAAGAAGAACGCACTGGTGAGCTCAGCAATATAAAAAGGCATGGACGGCCACGGAAGACAAGTGGTGGATGATCACAGGATCCTCTCTATGGTAAATAAAAACCCATTCACAGCATCCAGACAAGTTAAGGACACTCTCCAGGAGGTGGACGATCACTGTCAAAGTCTACAATCAAGAGAAGACTTCACAAGAGCAAATACAGAGGGTTCACCACAAGGCGCAAACCATTCATAAGCCTGAAGAATAGAAAAGCCAGATTAGGCTTTTCTAAAAAACATCTAAAAAGGCCAGACCAGTTCTGGCAAAGCATTCTTTAGACGGATGAAACTAAGATTAATATGTACCAGAATGACAGGAATAAAAAAGTGTGGAGAAGGCTTGGAACAGCTCATGATCCAAAGCACACAATGTCATCTGTAAAACATGGTGGAGGCAGTGTGATGACATGGGCATGCATGGCTTCCAGTGGCACTGGGTCATTGGTGTTTATTGATGATGTGACAGAAGACAGAAGCAGCCAGATGAATTTTTCAGTGTACAGAGATATACTGTCAGCCCAGATTCAGCAAAGTTGATTGGATGGCGCTTCACAGTACAGATGGACAATGATCCAATACACACTGCAAAAGCAACCCAGGAGCTTTTGAAGGAAAAAAAGTGGAATATTCTGCAATGGCCAAGTCAATTACCTGATCTCAACCCAATTGAGCATGCATATCACTTGCTGAAGGCAAAACTAAAGGCAGAAAGACCCACAAACAAAGAGCAACTGAAGACCGCTGCAGTTAGGGCCTGGCAAAGCATCACAAAGGAGGAAACCAAGTCTTTGGTAATGTCCATGGGTTCCAGACTTCAGGCAATCATTGCCAATAAAGGATTCTCAAGAAATATTAAACATTTTATTTATGATTATATTCATTTATCCAATTACTTTTGGTCCTTTGAAAAAGGGGGGATAGCTCTGTAATTCCTAAACCCTTCCTCCAGTTTGGATGTACATACCCTCAAATTAAACCTGAAAGTGTGCACTTTCAGCCCATATCCATTATATAACTAGAGCTTGAATATGTTTTGCTAAATATCTGGAAGAAAACTAAAATTGTGCCTGTGTCCAAATACATATGGACCAAACTGTATTGGCCTAAAAATGTGTCCAGCAGTGGTCATTTAAGTCTTATAGGGTTTCTGATCATTCATCAGTCCTTTTTTCTGCATATTTTGAGCAGTCAGCAAGGTATGATCTTTCTTGACAATCAAACTGATAATACATATTAAATGAAACCGTGCTTATGGTGACCAACAAAAAGTATGACAATATTGAAAATCTGCTAACACAATATGTGACATCCCATATTAAAACACTGAATAAAAAAGTGTAGTGCTAATCAAATTTTAGAGATATGAAAGTAAAACCCAAAAAGGTGCAAAATTAGTGCAAACCTCCAATAATTTAAATAGATAAACATACAGAGAATATCCATATCAATGTGTGTAAATAACATGTGTGTATATTTTGTAAAAGTCTACCACGTTGAAATGTGAAACACTGACACCAGATTCATCCACTGTGCTCTGCATTTCACCTCCATAGTGAACAGTATAAAGGCTTAACAGAATGCCACGACCCCCTACATTAGAGTGGTCAACAAACACTTTTATGTCATAAAAGACTCCACAGCTTTTATCCTTTTAAATCTGCGACAGGTCACATCCAGCTTGGTAAGTATATGACATTAAATAGAAAAGAAAGGGCACCCAATAGTGTAAATCTGCAGGTATATTTTATTAAAAAATGAATTATAAACACTCAGATAAAACCACAGTAGCAGCACTTTACAGAAAATCATACCTTAGGGACACGGTGATGCACTTCCGGTTTACATGATGACATCATGGCGTACCACTCCACCCTACATGTTCCATCACAACTGACGTCATCAGGAGTTAAAAAAAACAAGCTATGGAGTATTTTATGACATCAACCATGTCCTGGCCACTCTAATGCAGGGCGTTCTGGCTTTCTAGTAGGCCTTTATACTGTTCACTGTGGTGATGTGGAAATGAAATCAAGAGCACAGTGAAAGATCCTAGTGTCACAGCACAGTGTTTCACATATGAACATGGTGGACTTTTATATGAACTTACACCATATATTATTTAAAAGCATTGATGTGGTTTTTTACTTTACGTTTATATGTTTTCATTATTGGAGGTTTGCACTGATTTTGCACCTTTTTGGTATTTGCTTCATATCTCTAGAGCTTGAATAGCGGTACACTTGTTTTCTTATATTTAAGATTTTGAAAAACTGCGCAAAAAATAAGCTGGATTAGAGCTGAAGGATAGAGTTGAATGTGAGAAAGACAGTGTACTGAAAGTCACGTGATCACAAAGTATGGTAAACATCAACAGAACACATCACAACAGGTAAGCAGTTAGTACTTACCAGCTGAGCGCTCATCCCATATGCAGCATGGGAAGTAAAGACAGGAGTGGGGGTGAGAAACCCATTGCCCAAGTACAGTGTTGACCAGAGCACCTCCATTTTTAAGTGTAAAAGCAGTAAATTAATTATTAATCCTACTATTTTACAGTAAAAGTAAAAACAAGGAATTTAATTATCATACCAGTAATATACAGAAGTACATTTACCCCGATGGAAGCAAAGAGTGACCACGAACGTACCTGGCTCTCCACAAGCATCGCCATATCCATGAACATGTCATGGAGTTCCCGGATGCTGTTCTCCAATTTAATAATCTCACTGTGTCGAGTCTCAATTTCATTCAGAGCTTGTTTAGTAATGTTCGAGTCCATGATGATCTGCAAGAAATCCGGAAACTAGATTAATTGAGTGCAAATAGGGTATTTGGTATAGCTTCATGGCCAACTTTCTTGATATGAAGGCCTCAAGTGCAGCCCATCAACATCACCAAAGGGCTGCACATTAAGTGAATACTCAGTCTCAGAGACAGCAGACGCACAACAGGATACTGTCAGAGATTATGGATAGAAGAGATGGTTAGAATTTACGGCCATGATACAAGAGATTGTTAGAGATTACGGCCATGATACAAGAGAATGTTAAAGATTGCGGCCATGATACAGGAGAATGTTAAAGATTGCGGCCATGATACAGGAGATTGTTAAAGATTACGGCCATGATACAAGAGATTGTTAGAGATTAAAGCCATGATACAGGAGATTGTTAAAGATTACGGCCATGATACAGGAGATTGTTAGAGATTACGGCCATGATACAGGAGATTGTTAGAGATTATGGCCATGATACAGGAGATGGTCAGAGACTATGGACACAATACAAGAGGTGGTCAGAGACTGTAGACATGGTGCAAGAGACTGTTAGAGCACACAAGCTTCTTACTCATCCTTTTACCTTATTGATGAACTCTCTTCTATTGAAAAGAGCAGATTATCAACAGTTTCCAATTATGTAAAACCCACAATGCACACAGTAACCAGAAACTAAATATTTTCTTTGTCTATAACTGACAAGATGCAGATTGCCACTGCAGTTAATACTTTAAAATGCTGGGAGATGAAATCTAATTTGGGCATTTCATTGCTCTTTGCTACATAGTAAAGTCCAACACCAGGCACCAGAATTTTCATACTTATACTGTGATAAAAACTATACATCACATTCTACGAGATCTTGTCATTGAACTGCTCTTCCTCCGTCCACAGAAAGTGGTGCATTGTGGGAGAATAGTGACACGAGCAATATGATTGGACAGAAGCGGGCAGGTGAGCGGGACAAATGCGCTTAGTAGCAGTGGCAATTGTTGACTCTCACAGTCCCGGAAGACAGGCTGTTCAGTGGTTTTGAAGGAGGCAGCAAACTGAAGAATTTTAGCTGCTGCAACTGCCTGCAGATAATGGGCTATATACCAGGACACATGATGTAAATGTATGATGCTGTAGCTTCAAAGAAAATAAACTTTGGCTTTAAAGAAAACCAGTACAGAGGGAGTATGCTGACTGTCACTGCTGACCTCTCCTACTATGGCAGCTGACATGTTTCCCTTAATACACATTTTAATATGTGAAGATAATGATCAAGGTTGCTACTGCTGATCTCTCTTTTATATAATACTAATTGGCTGCCATGACTGATCCAATGGATTTAATACTTTCTGAATCACTGACCTTAACAAGTATGCAGATCATGAGTTCTGATAGTGACAGCCAGTTAACTTGCATTTTCAGCAATGGTAGACTCACGTCTCTCAATACTGAGTTCCTTTAATATAAAGTATTTCCCCAGAATCTTGGCCTTTCCCAGAATTCACACTGTGGCACTCACTCGACATAAGTAATCCGGTCATCTCTAATCCTATTCATTATTATGTCTCAGTTTCTGAAGCTTCAGCGGTGGCTAATATGCAAATCTTCTAAATCCAGCAAGCAGAATATGTTGTCTGTTCCCGCTCTGCTTTATCATCGCTGGGAGTCAGTGGGAGTTGTTCTATGTCCTCCTCCACTGTTCAATCATGAAGACTAACTCACAAAGCACAAAAAGGAGAACTCCTACTGCTCTATGGAGGAGACTTTTTATACCCAACATAGACCTGCTTGGGCATATCATGCTACATACAGGTCTGTTTCTTTAAGTTTTAACATCTTTCTTCACTCTTTGCATGCCAAGCTACCACCACCCTGTACATCACCATTAGTGTTAGCACTATACCATACCCCTGATGAGAAGATGGCGGGGTTTCCACTCTCCAGCATATCCTCCAGCTCCTCACTTGTTGTGGTTCTACCAGCTGTAAAGATAAGAAAGTTTGTATTGTCATATAATACAACCATTGAAAATGATATAATGTGCATATATAATTTTTAAGAACAATGGCAATCATTTGAAAAACACAGATTTTATTTTCATCTTTTATTTAAGACTCATTTTACTTTACTTAAAGCAGAAATCCAGAGGAAATGTTTTTTTGGCCCATGCAGTGGGGCTGTGCCAGCACTGCACGGGTCTAATGCTCATTTTGTTCTAGGGGAGAGGACACTGCAGATATAATCACCTGATCCACCGATCCTCCCTGCACAAGACAAGTCCTTTTGGCTCCTGCCCCCCCACGGTCCGGTAAATGGACTGTTCCTGATGTCGGTATACTCAATGGATGCTCCACAGACAGGAACAGTCCACCACTGGACCGTGGTGGAGCACGTAGGAACAGCGGGTCAAGTGAGTATGAGCTTAGTCCTCACCCCTAGAAAAAACGAGCAGCCAATCCATGCAGTGGGAGCACAGCCACACTGCATGGTTAAAAAAAAAAATCTAACTGGAGTTCTGCTTTAACCTACATAACTTGAACAAGTACTTACAAATGCCTGTGCCTTGATCATTTCATTTGAAATGGTGACATTAAATTACTTTGGATTTGAAGTCTCCTTCAAGAGAAAGGAAATGGGAGGAAAGGGACAGGGTGGGCACGTATATATTCTGGTTTGGAAATCTCACCAACGAATCCCCTTAGAGATTTGAAGGGAAATTCAGCTGATTGCAAAAATAAATAATTAAATAAATACACCCATTTAGCAAAAAGCAGAATTTGCATTTATTATTGTTTTGCATTTTGAACCTCTGTGCCTGGATGATCAGTGCAAATGTCGTCTGTGACATTTGCCGGTTATCGGCAGTACTTGCCTCACGCTGTGACAGTGTGAGGAAAGTGCGCCCAACAACCGGCAACTGTATTTACTTTGTGATCAGCTGTGTCATTGGAAACTGTTGATCACGTGGAAAAAGGCTGCTGTGATTGGCCTGTTACCTAGTCATGTGATCAGCTGTGTCATTCGGCTATAGCGCGGTTTGTAAAGTGGTTAAACCAAATGAAAAATCATACAGCTGTGCCCTCTATCCACTTGAGTTCTGGAAGATTTTACCCCATCACGACCAGTCCATTTTTCTGCTATTCGGCACTGTGCTATTTTAACTGTTAATTGTGCGGTCAAGCAACGCTGTACCCACATGAAATTTTTATCATTTTTTTCACACATGTAGAGCTGTCTTTTGGTCATATTAAGTGGGTTTTTAATTTTCTGAGATATAAACGATAAACAACTGAAAATTTAACAAAAACTATAAAACATATTCAATAAAAAAATGTAAAAAAAAAATCTAATTTCTTCATACATTTTGGCCAAAATGTATTCTGCTACAGGTTTTTGATTAAAAAATCCCAATTAGTGTATATTGATTGGTTTGTGTGAAAATTATAGTACCTACAAACTATGGTAATTTATCACCATCTCCAACCAGCTACTTTCTTTCTTTATTTGGTAAACATGTTAAGTGTATATTGATTGGGTTGTGTGAAAGTTATAGCGCCTACAAACTATAGTATATATATTGAAATTTATTTGTTTTTATACAACTAATGGAAGCGAACAGCGACTTAAAACGGGACTGTGATAGTGCGGCAGGCAATCTGACACTAACTGATGCTGGGGGGGGGAACTAACTGCCACTGATTTCACCAGTGACATTACTACAGTGATCAGTGATAATACTAAACACTGTCACTGTACTAATGACACTGGCTGGGAAGGGGTAACATCTAGGGCGATCAAGGGGTTAAATGTGTGCCTAACTTTGTGTAACCCTGCTAATCACCAGTGCACACTGAGTATCCTGGAGGCTGTTTTGGATCTGAACGGAGCTAATATCGTCTGGACTTTTGTCCTTTGCTGATATCTGGTGGTGGAATTGAAAATTGATCCTCAATTAAAATCCTTTTTTCCCTACATTTTCCTTGCTACTTGAATTGCAATATTTAACAGATGGATATATGATGCCCATTATATTTTTCAACCTTATCCCGTTAAGCTTAGATGGATATTTGATGTCCAATATATTCTTCAATCTTACTTGGACATTATAGGCCAATTAGACCTCTAGACAGAATATACTTCCATATTTCTCTGCAATTTCCATAGATGGATGTATGATGTCCATTGTTTCCTCTCTTATGGTTGTGAACGTATAGGTCAAATAGATCTTTGTTAGGTTATACCTATATATCCTTCTAAAGCATTTAACAGATGATATTTGATGCCTATTATATCCTCTACAACTTTTGGACGTGTAGGCCAATTAAGATCTTTTTTAGGTCACTTTCTCCTAGATCCGTGAGCTTTCACATCCAGGACTGCCTTGGCGGTAGAAATTTCCTCAAAATCTCCCCTGAAAAAGCCCGTGAGGGCGAAACATGTTGGGAGTAACTACATTTACCTAACCAAGTTTGAATCTCAGTTGGTATTCTTAGAATTTAAATTGTTTTTATGTTTCTGTATTTTTTTTTCCTTTCTTGTGTTTTTTACCAAAATACGAAATAAAAATTATATACCTTTTAATATGTGGTATTCATGTCTATGCACCCTGAAAGTCCCATCTTCTCTACTGAATATTTGTGTAATCTGTGTAAACTGTGCTGCTTTTACTACTAGATCTCTCAGTTTCTCATCCCTGCTTTGTGTTGTTTACCAATACAGAGCTCTGGTTGTGATTGCACACAGCCAATCAGCAGGTCCCGGCTGTGAATCATTGGCTGGGACTTGCTGACAGGCTCTCGCTGTGTGCAGTCACAGCATGTGCCGGGCAGGGGGCACGCATGCACGTGCCCTAAATCCAGAAGTAAGCAGCAACATTCGGGTACCTCGCTTTGTCTACAGTTGCCCGTAGTACATTGTGGGCAGGCAGTTGCCAAGTGGCTATGCAACCCCAACCTGTAAGAAGCAGCAGACTGATGGAGTTATCTCTCTGCTCGCTTTGCTCTCTCCTATCAGCAGGTGCCATGTCAGCATAGTACCTACACTATATTATTTAAATTTTATGGTTGAACTAGATGGACTTTTGTCTTTTTTCAGACAGACTATGTAACTATAATTTATACATGTATACCTAACTGCATGTCTTTCATATGTGCCTGTTCTCAGGTTTAAATTTGTTAATATACAGGCAATAAAAAATTCATACTTCTTCAAAAAAGGTTGCTCCTAGGGCAGGGTATGAAACTGACAAAAGGATCAAATGACTTCAATGGATTATGTTAACTCCACTCATAACCGTGTAGTAATTTATCACCATCTCCAACCAGCTACTTTCTTGCTTTATTTGGCAAACATATTTGAAAAGTCAGATATTTCCAGACCCAATCTAGTGTTAAAGTAGTTCTAAAGGCAGAGGGTTTTTTTTTACCTTAATGTATCTGCCATCCCTCTCTGCCAATCCCTCCACTGGCTTCCCATTGCCCAACAAATAAAATTCAAAACATTAATAATAACATATAAGCCATTTATAACTCTGCCCCAAATTACATCACCAATCTTGTCTCCAAATATCTCCCAAACTGTCCTCTCCGCTCCTCCCACGACCTCCTGCTCTCTAGCTCCCTGGTCTTCTCCTCCCATGCTCATCTCCAGGACTTCTCCAGAGCCTCCCCCATCCTCTGGAACTCTCTACCCCAATCTATCAGATTATCTCCTACTCTGCCCACTTTTAGGTGATCTCTGAAAACCTCTCTCTTCAGGGAAGCTTATCCTGTCTTCAGCTAATAATGGAATCTTCTAATCAGTTCATCCCCCACAGTTATTACCTTTTGTACCACCAGTCCCTCTTAGAGTGTAAGCTCCCAGGATCAGGGTCCTCCTAACCCTCTTGTATTGAACAGTATTGTTGCTGTATTGTCTCCCTTTATATTGTAAAGCACTGAGCAAACTGTTGGCACTATATAAATCCTGTATAATAATAATAATCAGCAACAATCATTAGCACCATGCAAGCCTTTGCCTACAGGGTGATATACCTATTAGTGCTCCAGCTCCATGATGTTCTATGGCATTAACAGGATATTGCTCATTCCAGATATAAATAATACACTAGCCCTGCAAACCTTAGTACAACCTCTGGCAGAACTCAAGGGCATAATCAGTCCAAGGGGACAGGCCTCCTTCTCCTCCTCCGTCAGGCGCCTAGCACACTGTCACATTAGATATGTGCTCTGGCAGGAGTGATGTCTCCTTTGTTGGAAACCAATCACCATTTTCTCTGACTGATGTTTTCCAGGGACATTACAGGGCTTTAAATAATAAAGAGCAGTTGGGTGTTATAACAGCCAATAAGTTAAAGGCTTGTCATTGTTTAATGGAAATCTATACTCTGTTTCATTTTAGATATGTCTGTGTGAATGTGTTCACCTTAAAGAAAATCTATGGCCTGTTATAAATGGTTTCAGTTAAAGCTGACCTCCAGGCAAATAGCTAAATGCATAGATGAAATAAATACATGGGAGTTGTTTTACCTGACAACAAAGCTGTACCCCTGTCCATCCAGTCCTGAGATTTACACTGCCCTACCACACAGCATAGCCAGTCTGCAGATCTGATCTTTATCTGCTGCAGTTGAGCCAAAACTGAAGCACAGATAAGTTATTTAGGATTACCTTTCATGTAATGGTGAGGCGGTGGGTACAATGTAATTTTTTCCACTTTTGTCTTAAATCCCTATTTCCTTCCCATTCTATAATTTTTTCAAAACATTTTGTATCAACCATGTATTTCTATTATTTTTACCTGTAAGAGTGTATAATTGTAAAAAGACCAAAATATTTCACGGGGGGGGGGGGGGGGGGGGCGGACTCCACCTATGATCTGCTTGCACAGCAGGGAATCTGTCTGCTGATCCCTGCTGAGCAGGTGGATGACAGGTCTGTGTCTGCTCCGTTTATGCAGAGCAGACATGGACACAGTGTGCTCTCCTCTATGGGCGGTCGGATGTAAATAAACCATCTGTCAGTTTACACCCAACTGCCATCCGATCCACTGAATGGAAGGGGAACTTCTCTGTACTTTCTCTGTACTCTATAATATTCTTGCCAGGTGTTTTTTTTCTACATGTTTACGTACTTATAGAGCTTCCCAGGTCCAAAATTAATAATGAGCAGATATAAGTTCAGCCCTCTACAACAGTGTCAATTTCTCATATGGCCCCTTGGGAAAATTAATTGCCCACATCTGCTATAGGCATATTGCGTGTAACTAAAGATCATTATACATAACTTCTAGGTCACAAAAAAATTTAACTCAGGCAAAACATATCTGAGTTTCCATGGACTGCTAAGGGTTATTGCAAATCATTGCAATTTACACCATTTAATTAAATGAAATCTACTGTGTATTAAACCTTTTGTCATTTACATAGCTCTGCAAATGGTTTTAACTAGCACAACAATTCTATGAAAATAGGATGAAAGGATAAGTACTCTGAGAATTATCCTGCATTGAAACAGAAATTAAAGTCATAATTAAAAAAAGAACAAAAAAAAGTATATACATGTTTGGCTCTAGATGTTCCTTTACATATAACATGTAAAAATGAACATATAAAAAATATTTAGGATGACCGTACACTATACAACCTAAGGTCGGCCATACATGGGTTGATTTCCAAACAATTTTTTGTTTGAAAATCGGACCTAAAAATAATCGACCGATGTTTGCTCTGTTAGTGGGGCAATGGCACTGGCCTATTTTCGTGGTTCCTTCCCATTTAATTTATCAGGCATGTTGGAAAATTTGTTAAAAAAACAACCAATTTTCAAAATCATTAGTGGCACCATCGTATTACAGAACGAACAATGTTTTCGAAAAGCTTTCCGAATTCGACCCATGTATGGCCTACTTAAGAGTATAAGGTGAAGAGCAGGCAACTACAGATAAAAGTACTTTATTCATTGGCCTAACAATATGGAGATTTCCTAAATTATTATGTAAATGTAAGAATAGTATTCAAATAAGAGTAATATTTAAAACATTCATTAATTACAGCATTTTCCTACAAATAATTGTTACATTGGTACTTCTCAAAAAATTATATTTAGAGATTGGTATTTCTCCTCTACACCTTCACGTTAATGGTGAAAAAAGTAGACTGCGTTTATTCCTGTGAAAAAAATGTCAGCATTACATTGGTCATAAGTCTGAGCGCTTTCACATTCCATCACCATACATCTTCACTTTGTAGGTTCTGTATGACAAGCTGGATAAATGATCTTGTGGGACAATGGAAGAGTCAGAGAACTACAACTTACTGATTTCTAGCTGTCTCTGGATGCGGCCTTTGCAACGCTCACGATAATCTGACTGCGTAGCATTATATTCCGACATCACTTCTACAAACTTACGAGACAGTGTAGAATGCTGGAAAGACAAAAAGCAATCATAGTCAATTTAGTAAAGATAGAAGCTTTGCCAGGTATGGTGGCCAAATAGTGGCTGGAAATAGGTGGATGGAAATTTTGATCCATCAATGGGCAGGTTGGCTGTACTGAAGTCGTTCTATCAATTGGCTTCAGTACAACCAGCCTGCCTTTTTTTTTTTTAGTAAAATTACTGCCACCAGCTATTGCCAGCAGCAGCAATCATTGTATCCTGACGGAAGGGAAACCTCCCACTGGTTCAGTGTTGATGGGGGAATCAAGTGATTTTCTTTCCTTCAACCCATGGTTGAAGGAAAGAATACTGAATTGTGTAGTCTTCATGCACACTGGACGTTTTGATAATGCTGGTAACGTTAGCTGTTTAAAGTCACGTTAAAAAACTTGTTTTTCAGCTTTTTTTAGCGTTTTTTTGCATTAGCGCTTAGATGCGATTAGCAGCGTTTTCCCGCATTTTTCCATGTTTTTGTTTTTTTAGCATTTTTTTTACCCCCCCCCCCAAAATTCTTTAGGGTCAAAAAAGTCTTAAAAACGCCGATTTGCAATGTTTTACCGCGTTTTTCAGCGTTAGAGTGTTATTACAGCTAAAAAACCTCCTCTAGAAACCCGCTAGTTCTGGGGTTTTTTCCCAGCCAAAAAATGCTGATTACAGTCTATGTGTGCATGGACACATAGGATTACATGCTGGGGAGTTTACTGGCTGGAGAAAAAAACCACAAAAAGCCAAAAACAGCCGCTGTAAAAACGTCAAGTGTGCTTGAGGAATTAATGTATGGCCTGCCTTTGCTCAAGTAGATATGAAGTCCATATTTAATTTAATTCATAAAAAACCAACATGTTTCTGGGGTTCAAAAGTTCCCCATTCAGTGGTACTGTTGAATGAATTATGTACTGGACTGATAAAATTGGAGGGATCCTGAGGGGCAATTAGTATAACCGGTCTACATGTTGATAATACTTTGGATATTTTTCATGGCTACTGTGTGAAAAAGCCCAACATCCTGCCTCCCACAGTAGTAGTGCGCATGAGCAAAGGTACCTTACAAGAAAAAAGTGGTGCGTGTAAGATACTGCAGGGGAGATTTAGCCTAGGTTCAGACTATTGTGGGCCATGTGGTCTGCAATTGCTCAGGCACAATAGCCCATTCATTTGAATGGGTTGCTGTGCCCATGTTTCCCACAGGAAAAAGGTGCTTGCACCTTTTAAGAAACACTGCGGCAGGGAAAACGCATGGTCTTTTTGACCATGAGATTACCATGTGATTTCCCTGCATTTCCCACATCCGCAAATGCACTGTGGGATGAGATGCGTGGGGGTGCCAGTCAGAATGAATGGTAGCCCCATGTGTCTCGTAAGGTGTGGGGTGTGGGAACTGGTGCGATTCCTGCATCCGCAACCAGCCCGCAGACTGCGGGCAAATGTGAACCTAGCCTTACTAAAACTGGTACACTAAGAATCTGGTGTAGCTGTGCATGGTAGCCAATCAGCTTCTAACTTCAGCTGGTTCAATTAAGCTTTGACAATAAAACCTGGAAGCTGATTGGTTTCTATGTAGAGCTGCACCAGATTTTGCATTGTATGCGTTTCAGTGCCATATTTTTTCCTATGGCCAACCTTTGCAATGCAACCTGAAATGCAAAAAAAAAAATCAAGTCAAATGCATATAAAACAAATGATAATTTAAAGAACAAGAGTTTATGGGTCCTAATTTACAGCAAGCACAATACATGTCACATGTCAATGTTAAGGCATGGTTCACACTGCTGCAACCCCAAAGTTGTGCAACTTGCTTGCGATTTGCTCACAATATCCTTGTGACTTGCTTGCAACTTTTGTGATTTAACTTTCAAGTCTATGATACCCAAGTCACACCAAAGTCGCAGAAAAGTAGTGCAGGAACCTTTTTGTCACTGTGACTTGAGTCTCATTGTTAAAGATGGCAACCATTGAAATGAATGTGTTTTGACTTATGTGCCTTTATGTGTCGCAAGTCGCATGATAAGTCACAGCAGTGTGAACTGGAGCTAAAGCTTTTATCTGCTAACAGTGTAAAAACGCATGCAGCATGGCGGTAATACCAATGCTCTACTATAGAATAAATAAGGAGCAGGGTCCTCTGTTTCCTCTTGTACCAAATTGTATTGTAACTGTAATTATTATTACTACAGGTACCTTCTATAGCGCCGTCAATTTACAAAGCGCTTTATATATATATATATATATATATATATATATATATATATATATATATATATATATTATATATATATATATTATATATATATATATATATATATATATAGCGCTGCGTAAATTGATGGCGCTATAGAAGGCACCTGCAGTAGTAATAATAATAATTATATATATAGTACATTCACATCTGTCCCTAACCCTCAAGGGACGTACAATCTAAGGTCCCGAACTCACATTCATACATACACGGGCCAATATAGATAGGATCCAATAAACCTACCAGCATGTCTTTGGAGTGTGGGAGGAAACCAGAGTACCCGGAGGAAACCCACGCAGGAACAGGTAGAACATGCAAACTCCAGGCAGGTGGTACCGTGGTTGGAATTCAAACCAATGACCCTAGTACTGCAAGGTGGAAGTGCTAACCATTTAGCCACTGTGTTGCCCCTGTAATGTCTACCTTCATTTTGTGAAGCACTGCGCAAACTGTTGGCACTATATAAATCGTGTATAATAATAATAATAATAATATGAAGAGTTTTACATTTGAGATCAACCTTATGAAAAAGCACCACCAAGTTCCTTGTCACTCCCGTATAGCAGACATGCACGGCAAGGTCACAACAGATGGTAGTTACCAGATAAATCATCCAAACTTACAAGTGGGATTTTCTGACACAGCCCTGGCCTAATACCTGCGTCTTCCTGATGCGCAAATCAGCGGAGGAACGGTTCATGGCTTCCTCTTGTTCGATACTTTGTTCAATATCTGGCAGAGAGGACAGAAGGTTCTAGTTTAGACAGGAATTTCATGTCGTTTAGAAGGAAGTCTGCAATAATAGCTGTCTCTAATGTCATTTTATTATAAAATATGGATCTTCTGGACCTTCAGTAGAGAACAATTGTCATCCATTCTCAAGAAAATGACCCATCAGGATGATGAAATTTATTAATACTTTCTTCCTTCCTTCTCACCCTGTCCACCTCATCATTGCCAACAGTATAACATCCCTGGCCAAGTCCGGACAGCGTTTACAGCCCTTAGGTCCCATAAGTCTAACTATGCGCATGAGCCAGTTGCTGCCATGTAATGGCCATAGTCAGCACATGGCATCCAGGACTGCCATAAAGGTCTAAGATCAGTATGTATGCATGGGAGGCAGGAATCCCAAGGCCCAATTATACCTCTCTGACGCGGAAGTTCCCACAACACATGTAAGGTGCATTAGCATGCTGCAGTGCTATTCACTGTCAATGGCATCCTAATGCACCACTAACGCACATGTATTGCAGGGCAACAACATCCGGAAATGCCCTTGACACGCTGTAATGTTGGGCATCAGAAAAAAAATTGTGCATGTCCAATTTTTTTTTGTCCATTCTTGTGCAAAATGTAACAGTTGTCACTGGAACAAAAAGGCAAATATTCGTTTCCATGACAACCGTATAAGAAAGGACTTCCCTTCGCTTTGGAATGATTTATTCTAATATCCAATTGTGTCACAGTGACAGGAAATGAAGGGAAATCTTCCCAATGGGACACAGACTAAAACAAAACAAAAAAAACCAAACAACTAACGGGGTGGGAACTATTTCCTACTCTAAGTCCTCATGCACACTGCACATTTTTACAACTGCTATTTTTGGCTTTTGACATTTTTTCTACAGCCAGTAAACTCCCCAGCATGTTATCCTGTGTGTCCATGCACACATAGACTGTAATCAACATTATTTAGTTATTTAGCTGTAAAAATGCTTGTCATGTTTCACATGACTGTCATATGCCTTTAAGTGTTCTTGTATTTTGTCTCTGCTCCTCCCTTTCCTTTGGTTTAGTTCATGCTGTATAGATAGCCCCACCTTTTTATTCTTTTTCCCAGTAATGCATTACAGTTTCTAGCCTTATGTCTTATTGAAGCAGATCACATTATGATCTTTTGACCTATCCGATGTTCATTGTTGTAAGATTCTCTCAGTTTATGGAATAAACTTCACAAGATCTACAAGATGTCATCTGGATCGAGTCACTGCCTGTGTTATTCAACTAAGATTGGAGTTATCGCTATCTCATTACAACGGTGAGTTACAGAGATCACACTTTCAATGCTTAGACTGGAGCGACAGAACAACGCTCTAATGCTAAAAAATGTGGCAACATGTGATAAAAATGCCCGCAAACCGGCATTTTTGGACGTTCTTTTAACCAAAAAACAATAAATTATTTTGTTGTTAAAAAAAACTGCTAAAAAATGCCAAAAAAAACCGGGAAAACCCACTAAACGCTAATGCAAAAAACGGTAAAAAAGCTGAAAAACTCACGTTTTAACGTGACTTTACACAGCTAACGTTACCAGCGTTATCAAAACGTCCAGTGTGCATGAGGACTAAAAGTTTTTCTTTAGATATAGTTTATCCTCTTATTCACTGCAGTGAAATGGCTCAAACCACTTAAAAATTCATAATCAAAAATCTTCACCATTCTCATCTCTACCAGAAAAGTCAGCCCTTCCTTGCTACAAACCGTAATTTTCTACTAAGCCACTCTACTCCTCCCTCACTTAACACCACTCATTTTAATTACTGCACCTTTTTCTGCAGCAGAGAGAAATATCACTAGTATCCTAGCAGTAAGGATTTCCTAAAATTAAAATATACAGAAGGTAAAATAAGTATTGAACATGTCACCATTTTTCTCAGAAAATATATTTCTAAAGGTGCTATTGACATAAAATTTTCACTACATGTTTGAAACAACCCTTGCAATCCATAAAGAAACCAAAACAATTAAGTTCGAAATTAAGTTATGTGTAATAAAATGAAATGACACAGGGAAAAAAGTATTGAACACATGAAGAAAGGGAGGCACAAAAAGGCATGGAAAGACAGCAGCTGAAATATATCAGTAATTAGAAAGCAATCCTGCCCCTTGTCAGTGCAAATTAATATCAGCTGGTTCAGTCAGCAAATAGCTCTCTCAAGACCTTCCCAACCTTATTCTTGCAAAACATACTGATGGCATTTTGTTTCTAAACTCCTGAATGTTCCAGTGAGCACTGCTGGGGCCATAATCCAGAAGTGGAAAGAACATCATTCAACATAAACTGGCCACAACCAGGTGTTCCTCGCAAGATTTCTGACAGAAGACTGAAAAGAATTATCAGAAGAGTTGTCCAAGAGGCAAGGACCACTTGTGGAGAGCTTCAGAAAGACCTAAAATTAGCAGGTATAATGGTTTCAATGTAAACAATAAGTAATGCACTCAACCGCCATAGCCTGTATGCACGCTCACCACGCAAGACTCCATTGTTGAAGAAAAAGCATGTTGAAGCTTGTTTAAAGTTTGCTGCACAATATGTAGACAGGTCTGTGAAATACTGGAAGAATATTGTCTGGTCAGATGAGACCAAAATGGAACTCTTTGGATGCCTAATACACACCATGTATGGAGGGCAAATTGTACTGCATATCACCCCAAAAACATCATACCAACAGTGAAATTTGGCGGTGGGAGCATCATGGTGTGGGGCTGTTTTTCAGTATATGGTACTGGCAAACTTCATATCATTGAAGGAAAGATGAATGGAAAAATGTACTAAGACATTCTTGAGAAAAATCTGCTGCCATCTGCCAGGATGATGAAGATGAAATGAAGTTGGACATTTCAGCAAGGCAATGATCCCAAACACGAAGGCAAGGAAACTCTCAGTTTTTTCAAAGAAAGAAAATAAAGCTGCTAGAATGGCCCAGCCAATCACCTGACTTGAATCCATTAGGAAATCTATGGAAAGAACTAAAGATCAGAGTTCATAGAAGAGGCCCCCAGAACCTTCAAGATTTGAAGACTGCGTGTGCAAGAATGGGCCAAAATCACACCTGAGCAATGCATGCGACTAGTTTCTCCATACTGGAGGCGTCTTGAAGCTGTCATTACCAACAAAGGATTTTGTGCAACGTATTAAATAAATTTCAGTTAGCGTGTTCAATACTTTTCCCTGTGTCATTCCAGTTTATTACACATAACTTAACTTCTGATTTTATTTGTTTTGGTTTCTTTGTATGTATGTATGTCTTGCATGGTTTGTTACCGACATTTGGTGAACATTTCATGCAAATAGCACCTTTAGAAATATATTTACCGAGAAAAATGGTGATGTGTTCAGTACTTATTTTACCAGCTGTACCTAAAGCCAAAACTTTTTTTTGTAGTTTTGGATGTTGTGGTGAGGCATTAGAACCCCTGCCAGGTTTTATCACCCGTGGATCAGTGTGCAAGCAGTTCAATAGTTAATCCTTTTACAGGCACTAATATGGGTGGGTGCAAAAGCGCAGTGTATGTGTTGTTTAATAAACTGACCTTCCTTTCCTCTTCCAGCTGGAATCGCTCTCCAGACTGCTAGAAAGGTCCCAGGTGAAGTGCACATGGTATCACTCTGCCTGGGACAGGAGTCGGCGCCACAGAGGAAGTACCGGTCTCTCTGCGGCCAGCTGCTTCCTCTGCTGCTGGCGCCGGCTTGAAGCACTCCAATGCTCTGGGATGGTGGGTCAACAAGCCAAGATGGCGATCAACTGGTTGCTGACCCCAGGCCTGTGCTTCCCTGGTTTGAGGTCGAGGGCCACATAAGAGGGCTCCACTGGCCATAGGTTGGGCACCCCTGACCTAAACATTTCTTACCTTAAGGCAAGGCATGCATTAAGGTACAAAAATGTCATGGCTTCACTAGCACTTAAGGTGGGCTGTTGAAATCAATAGGCTTCCGAAGCACCAAAACATCCCAAAAGACTGACACGCCATAACATTTCTGCACAATATGGTATGTTGCAGGGATATATGGGCATTGAGGTGCTAGTCAAAATGAATGGCAACTCAATGTTTCAATGCATGCAGCACAATTGCTGCAAACTGCGCTAACGTGCATGTTAACATATGTGTTCCTGCAATGCATAGATGTACATCAGTCCTTGATATTAATACACTGCTCAAAAAAATTAAAGGAACACTGTTTAATCAGAGTATAGCAGCAAGTCAATTCAACTCCTGGGATATTGATCTGGTCAATTAAGTAGCAGAGGGAGTTGTTAATCAGTTTCAGCTGCTTTGGTGTTAATGAAGTTAACAACAGGTGCACTAGAAGGGCAACAATGAGACGACCCCCAAAACAGGAATGGTTTTACAGGTGGAGGCCACTGACATTTTTTTACCTACTCATCTTTTATGACTGTTTTTCACCCATTGTCAGACCCTAAACTTGTGCAGTTGGTCTTGGATTCCTCCTGGTGCATGACAATGTGGTGAGAGTATGCAGGCAGTTCCTGAAGGATGAAGGAATTGATACCATTGAATGGCCCTGACACTCGCCTGACCTAAATCCAATAGAACACCTCTGGGATATCATGTTTCAGTCCATCCGCAGCCGCCAGGTTGCACCTTAGACTGTCCAGGAGCTCAGTGATGTACTGGGACAGATCTGGGAGGAAATACCTCAGGACACCATCCGTCATCTCCATTAGGAGCATGCCCCGACATTGTCAGGCATGCATACAAGCACATGGGGGACCATACAAACTACTGAGGACCATTTTGAGTTGCTGCAATGAAATTTCAGTAAAATGGACTAGCCTGCAGCATCATTTTTTCACTTTGATTTTCGGGGGGGGGGGGGGGGGGGGCTCCTTTGAATTCAGTCCTCTGTAGGTTGATAATTTTCCTTTCCATCAGACAATGGGGCATCCTTACGTT